TTCCAGGCTTCTTTGGTGTATCCACTACAGTAGGCTCACTTCTGAATCTTTTCATCCTTTCTTCTACTATTGTCTCAGCAATGCTGGCATTTCATCCGCACTTAGTGTGGGTCATCACTTTTTCTGTACTTGAAGGAGTCATCTAATTGTGAGATCGTACTATCTCATGTGGTCCTTGCCAGAGTGTTAAATCCTATATTGCAGAGTAGTGCTCCAAAATTGATAAACTGCTTGTTATCCCACCTTGTAGTATAGCTCTCTTGATCAAGCAGTCTCAGAATTCAATTCCATGTGAACCCTTCCAGTTCCTGCCGATCCATGCTGGGTGTCTTACAGCTTCTTGAGGTACAATCACTCTTCTCCCTGATCAGGCCTCACATGTCCATGCTGTGCCTTAGCCCTTGTTATAGGTCTAGTGGCCAGGAGGGGAGGGGAGAGCATATGTTGTCTTGTTGAGGAGAGCTTTGCATGTCTGCAAGCAAAGGAATGGGTTGGGCATGGGGACTACCAAGAGGGAAATTGTACCAATTCTATGGGCTCAGCTAGTTCAGGGAAATTTAAGGATTCAATATTTTGGTAGCATCAATCTAGATACCCCCAAACCATGTGTCAGGGTCTGATTCTGTCCCTGGCAGCATCCTGATTTTGACATAGCAAATGTGTCTCTATTTCTCCATTGGGAGTTTAATCATTTTTAGAGCTCAATAATCACTAAATTCCATTGGTTCTTTTTGTTGTTGTCTTGTTTTGTTTCAGAGTCAGGGGCTTGCCGTGTTGCACAGGTTGGGGTACAGTGGCATGATCATAGCCCACTGCAGCCTTGAACTCCTGGGCTCAAACAATCCTCCCACCTTGGCCTTTCACTGATCTTATAGCTACTACTTCCTCCATATTTCTCAAACATGAAACATCACAGCAGATTATATGTTCCCTTTTACGGGTATACCATCCCAATTCATCACCTGGTGGAAGTTTTAACAATAACAGGACTGCTGCCTTATGGGAGGGGGAAATCTGTGCTCCATCCACTTGGTGTTATGGTCCTCACTGCCAACTGATTAGTAAGTGATCTAGCTCCCAAGTATCATCCTAATGCTCTGGTCTCTCTTCTTATCGTATAAATCTTTCATCTTTTACCAAATATCATCTTAGTCCCAACTTTCTTGGATCACTCCTAATTTGAAGTGTTGCAGTTTGAGTTTCCCAGGAGGCAGATTCCAAGAAAGAGCTTTGTATGCAGGATGCTTATTAAGAGGTATTCTTAGATTAGGATCTGTGTAATGAAGTAGATGTGGGCAGAGGGGAACACTGAGCTATAATGCAGGCTCAACGGCAGAGAGCCAATCCCACAGAAAGATCTGGAGATAGAACGACCCTTCCCAATTGTCCCAAATTGGGGTGAGACAGTCAGGTTTTTATACCCCCTCTTTAGTCAGTTACTGTAAGCTGCCACAGAAAAGTTTGTGTCCTTGGGTAAGGCAGAGATTACCTGAAGCAATCCCTGAAGGGCTAACAGCTGAAGGCAGTCTGTCAACATTTCTCCCAGCAGCTCAGTCAACAAGTCTTTTATTGAAATGGAAAGTGGGCTGACACATCACAGCATTCATCACATGCACTGCCTCTTTACATTAAAAATTGTCAATTAAAAGTAAAGCGCTAAGAATTTATCATGCCCTTCCTATACAAATTGTATTTCAGATTAACCAAATAGTCATGGTTGATGAGGGTAAATTCTATACAGAAGGATCCAGTTAATAAATTAGAAGAAATTATGAGATTAGACTATCATAATTTTGCAATCCTAATAAAATATTTTTTCAGGTAATGAAACCATAAAGTAAAAGGTTGGTGGGGAAAATTTGTAGTGGAAGCTTCAGGCTGCCTCCATCTGAAGTCACTGATGAATCTGAACATCTCTAAGTGTTGCACAGTATGTATTCTCTCATGTGATGCAATGGGAACTATACAGGACCATCTATGAGCATTCCTACTTATAGAAAACATTGTACTAGACTCTAAGTCTCTAGAGACAATTTATGGTTTATAGCTAAGTAACACTTTTTCCTATACGAAGAGGAGCAAGTGAAGTAACATGAAGAAGCAAACAGAAAAATGAAAATGTAGGGCATTCAACAGTCCAACTGTCTTTGTTTCTTCAACAGCTCAAGGGGTTGGACATGATGGCTCAGAAGGGGTTGGGCACAAGTGTACCACTTTGGGAGGCCGAGGTGGGAGAATCACTTGAGTCCAGGAGTTTGAGAGCAGCCTGGGCAACATGGGGAGATCCCATCTCTAAAAAAAGGAAAAAAAAAAATCAATAGCATGAATCAAAAAAGAAGAGGGGAGACTTTTAGATTAAAATGGATTTAGGACACATAACCACGTGCAATGCATGCACTTGGAGTCTAGATTTAAATAAACCAACTGTAAGCAGACATTTTTGAGACAATTGGGGGAAATCAGAATATGGACTGGGCCAAGCAAAGTGGCTCTCACCTGTAATCCCAGCACTTTGTGAGGCCAAATTGGGTGGATTGCATGAGCCCAGGGACTTGAGACCAGCCGAGGCAAAGTCGCAAAACCCTGTCTTTACAAAATACAAAAAGTAAAAAAATTACCTCAATGTGATGGTGAATGCCTGTAGTCCCAGCTACTCAGGAGGCTGAGTTGGGAGGATTGCTTGAGCCCAGGAGGTCAAGGCTGCAGTGAGCCAAGATGGTACCACTGTACTACAGTCTGGGTGACAGAGCGAGACCCTATTTCAAAAAAAAAAAAAAAAAAAAAAAGCTGGGTATTATTATATGATAAAGAATTATTAGACATTTTGTTTGGTATAAAAGTAGCATGGTGGTTTTGTTTGTTAGAAAATATCCATGTTTTTAAAGAATCCTGAAGTATATAGAATAAAATGGCATGATGTTTGAGATTTGCTCTAAAATGTTTACAAAAATGAAACAAAAAGAAAAAAAAAAAAAAGATGAAAAGGACGTAGAAAACAAGTCCCTTAGTCAGATCTGGCTGCTGTTAACAAAGTACCATAGACTAGATGGCGTATTAAAAGCAGATGGCCAGGTTCTTGTAGGGTCTCTCTTAGTTGCAGAATTCCGATTTTTTCTTATGTCCTTGTGGAAGAAAGAGGGTGAGAGAGCTCTCTGGGGTCCTTTTTATGAGGCGCTAATCCCATCATGAAGGTTCCGCCCTCATGACCTAATTACTTGGCGAAGGCCCCAGTTCCTAATCTTAATACCTAATACCATCGCATTGGGGGTTAGGATTTCAACATATGAATTTGGGGGGCAACAAATGTGCAGTCCATTGCAGCAGATGTGGCAGTCTTGATAATTATGGCATCTGAGTAATAAGTACATGGAATTCATTATATTGTTTCCTGTATTTTTGTGTATTTTAAAAAATTGAAGATAACTAAAAAACAGACAAATGTAAAGCACCCAATGCGGGTAAAAAATGATGCCCAAAGGACATAAAAAGACATTTATAGAAGAGGAGAGGCAAATGCATACTAAACATTTGAAAGGATATTCACCCTCACTGGTAGTCAGGAAAATGCACATTAAGACAATAAGGAGATACTAGTTTTTATTCAAAAGACTGCCACAAAGTTAAAAGATTGGGACCATCTAGTGCTATGAACATGGAAAAATACCTGATTGGTGCTGAGAAGGCAAGTATCTTACAGTATGTAGTGGCTCACGCCTGTAATCCCAGCACTTTGGGAGGCCGAGGCGGGTGGATCACGAGGTCAGGAGATCGAGACCATCCTGGTCAACATGGTGAAACCCCGTCTCTACTAAAAATACAAAAAATTAGCTGGGCATGGTGGCGCGTGCCTGTAATCCCAGCTACTCGGGAGGCTGAGGCAGGAGAATTGTCTGAACCCAGGAGGGGGAGATTGCGGTGAGCCGAGATCACGCCATTGCACTCCAGCCTGGGTAACAAGAGCAAAATTCCGTCTAAAAAAAAAAAAAAATAAAAAGTGTACATGCTATTACATCCAGCAATCTCATCTTTTGGAATTCATTTTCATTCTATAGAGATAACAGTACCAGAAATTAATGATCTGTACATGAGTGTGTGAAGGAGCATTTTTTGTATTGTCAAAATTTAAAAAGGAGGACAACCTAAATTACCATACAGGAATGGTCAAATAAATTATGGCTTATTCATGCCAGAGAATGTTACATATATTTTTTAAAGAATATATTTTTTCTATAATCAATGTATATTTATAGCATATTAGAAAATACAGATATGAAAAAAGGGAAAATTGTCTAGTTCCAAACCCAGAAATATCATCTTGGTATATATTGAGTGGTTTTCAGTGTGTGTGTTTGTGTGCAGATGTATATGTACATACGCCCACATATATACTTGTTTTTCCAATAAAAAAGGTATCATGCGTTCCACAATGTTGCAACTTCTTGTTTTTTAAAATTCCTTCACGGATGTTTTTCTACATCAACACCTACTCATCTACAAACATGGTCTTTAGGAACTGCATGGTATGTCATTTTATGCATACTTCATAATTTGACCAATGCCCTACTTGGCAGTATTTAAGTGAATCCAATTTCTCCTTTTAGAAACACCGTCCCTGCATGCTAGCAAGACTTTGGAGACAGTTTGCAAATTGCCTTACAGAAAGTTCTGGGTGCTTCTGGAGGCATTTGAGGCAGAGTAGACAGAATGTTTTCCCATCAGGCGAGCTTGCTATCTTCCCAGATAGCAGCATTGTAGTCTTTAGAACTTGAAAGACTTGTCTTATCTTGCCTGTTAGTCATGCAGCCTAAGCGGGACTAGGTTCCAGAAATCCCATACATGCTCTCCCTCCTCTTGCTTCATTCCCGCTCCTCCCCACGCGCCCCCCCCCCAACCCCGTAACCGCCCACCCCCCGAGCTTTCCCGCTCGGCTGCCTGGCCTATGGCAAACGCCAAGAATTCATTAGGGGCGGGGATCAAGGAGCGGCTGTCAGGAGGTCGCCATATTTCTGTACGGTCCTGAGGCAGCCTGGGCAGTCGCCGGGTCGGGAGAGGTGCTGACAGGGCGGAGCCGCCGCCTGGCTCAGCCGGCCTCACCCCTCCCGCCCGGGACAGGTGGCTGGAGCGCGCCCCGCCTTTCGCCAGCTGCGAGTGGGAGCGAGGGAGGGCCGGTCCGGGACGGTCGCCTCCAGCTGCGAGTGCGAGTGAGCGAGGGCTAGTCCTGGACCACCGGGCCAGGGGTCCGGCGGCAGCAGACAAGTACCGTGGCGGCCAAAAAAATGTTCCTGTGCCGAGGGGCCCCCGCCGGCCCTGGCGCACCGGGCTGCGGAGTGGCCCGGCCCGGCGGCGGCCCGCAGGCCTTCGGGATACGCCTGAGCACGGTAGGTCGGGGGCCCGAGGGGGCGGACGCGCGCGCGGGTCCCTGGGCTGCGGGAGGCGCGCGGGGAGGGCACGTCGGGCCGAGGCCTCACACGGGATGGGACCTTCTCTCGCCCCCAGATGAGCCCCCGCTACCTCCAGAGCAACTCCAGCAGCCACACGCGACCCTTCAGTGCCATCGCGGAGCTGCTAGGTGAGTGGCGAGTGCGGGCCTGGCCATGTTCGCCCGAGGCAGTGGTGCCAGCGTGGTGCCGCGGACGCGAGGGGAATGCGCAGAGCCGCGCGGGGCGGGCGGGGACTGGGGTGGGGGGCCTCGGACCCGGCCCGGGCTCCACGGGCGGAGGAGGGGGATGGCTCTCTCGCCAAGGAGGAGGTTCCGCTCATAAAACGGAGGAAATGAGGTGTGTCCGAAGCGTTAGAAAAGCGTGGTTTTTCTCTCTGGCTCGTGATGTATTGGGCACTTTAGGATAGCTTAGTTATTAATCAAAAGGAGATGCATAAAAATCTCGGGCCCCGAGGCCACTGGGCTCTGCAGGGGCTGGCGACGGGCGGAGGATGTCCAGCTAGCGAAGGGCCGTTCTGGAGGACCGAGGCGGGTCCTGGGGAAAGGTCTGGAAAGCGGAATTCCTTAACTTTTGAGACAAGAAACTTAGGAATGATGGGACATCTCTTAAGAGATGACACGAGTGCATTTGGCTCCCAGCTACTGCGGAGGGCTGGGTCCGTGGTCCACGAGCGCCCTCACACCGCTGGAATGAATATTCAGGACTTAACCTCTCGCTCCACCGGTGTTTGCTTTTAAAGCGTTTTCAGTTGATCCCGTCAAGCCGAGTACACCAATTTTTGCAGTAGTGTGCTACTGTGTGGAAAGCAAAGAAGAAAGGCACAAAACTCAGCAGCATACAGAGCGAATTATACATGCTTTGAAAATCGAAAAAGGAAGAAGTATTTATGGGCGAGGTCGCACGGAACACTCTTGACAGTGTTTTCAAAGCTCCCCAAACGAACCCCAGCCTCTACTTAAGCAATTGCTGTGGCCAAGCCATGAGAGTTATCTTGGGTAAGAAGTCAGTGGGTAGCAGGAAATAGAAGACTTATTTAGAAGGGTGATAAGAATAACTTCGATGATTAGTTTAACCAGCACACGGAATGCTTTACAGTATGTATAATTTAATTAGAAGGTTTTGAAAGGCAAAAAGTGGAATTGATACGTTTGGAACCCTAGAGCAGAGGGACTCTATCTTTGAGGTTTGGTACTGTGCCTTGGGGCTGTGCACTGAACCTCTGCAGAATGGAATACAATCTAAGTTAAGTATGTAATTTACAAGAAAGACTTAAAAAGGAGCAAAAAGTAAGGATTTACATCGTGGGGTATGGGAAACGGAAATGTCTTGTTCTGTCGTGGTTGGCACGGTGCAGAACGTGACACACCTGTGCTGTGCTGTTTACTCTACCTTCCAGGTGATTTAATAAGCTTTCAATTTGTAATTTGGAATATGTGTGATTTTGGCCATAAGCATTACCTTAAGGAACCTAGTTGGGATCTAAGACATCCAGTTTGAGTTCAAGTATGTGTATGTATTATGCATACGCATATACAAACACAGATTTTAAGACCAAATCACTACTATTTGTAAAAATAATAGGGCAAAGAGAGAGCAAAATGTTAACTGGCAATCCAAAGATGTCATTTTAGGTTTTTCTTTAATCATTTTCCTCCACTTAGACATTAATTTTCTAGTGAATAATTCATTTGGTAAATATTTATTGAGCACCCACTGTGCGCAAAGCCACTGTGGTAGGCACAAAAATGAATACAACACAAATTCACTCTTCTAGTAGGGGAGATAAAACATGTACAGAAGGTTTATGCTTTGTATAACAACAAAATAGAAAGTGATACATAAGCAGAGATAAAAACAAGTGCCGTGGGAGTTCAGAGGAAGGAGGAAAGGCTTCCAGTTTATCAGGAAGAGGAAGATTAGGAAAGGCTTTGTGGGGGAGGTGACATTTGAGCTGAGATTTGAAGGATTGGGACATGTGGATATGGTGGGGCGGGGGGGCGGGGGGGGGAACGCGGGGAGGCATTCCAGGCAAAAGGAACAACTGCTTGAACAAAGACATGAAGAATATTGAGTGGAGTTTAGAGAATGGGGTTCACAAATAGTAAAAAACTATAGGTACTTAAAAAGTTTACAAACAGCTTTCACAAATAACTTTTTAACATTACCCTTTGAAGTAAACATTATTATTTATTTTCATCCTGCAGGTAAAGTAAAAGAGGTTCAGAAAATTTAATTGACTTTTTCAAGGTTGCATGTATACTAAGTAGCAGATCCAGGACTCAAACACAGGTCTTTTTACTCCAGATACCAAGTAGTGATGGAAAAGGTCATCTGGGATCAGAATGTGACTGGGAGGCTCCAGTATTTGGCTTTTTAGCCTGAAGTTTTCTGAGCAGGGGAATGTGATGATCAGAGCTGTGCTTCAGGAAAGTGATTCTTGCAGAAGTGTATAAAATTGAAAGAGAGATACGGATTTGAAAAAGAGATAGATATTTATATTACTACTTAGGAGGTTATTTCAATAATCCAGATGAGAGTAAATAAATTTGGTAAGAGACTGACAATGGAAATAGAGTAATTAGGCTATGTGAGAGTCTAGTGATATATAGGGTAAAGGAGAGGGAGGGATAAGAAAATGACTGAAATTTCAAATTTGTGGTCTCTTCAGTGTTTACCTTGTGTGTGTGTTTATAACAAAGGAAGGATAGGCTTCTGACAAAAGGTGATGAGCTTACTTTAGGCAAGAATACTTTTAGATAGGCCAGGATTTCTGTAGGACACTAGCTCTACCCTTGGCAGTCTTGCAGGTAACCACCTGAAGGCCATCCTCCTGGAAGAGGGGAGATGGGAGCCCTGTGATGCTATGAAACAGAAAAGGATAAGAGGCTTGAGAAGCACTACCTCAAAGCTGTCTACCACTTGCCATCCTGTCTCTCCTGAGAGGCTGTCATGGAATTCATGGAATAGTTTCTCATTGCCTCCCTGATTCTGATGAAATATGAGAGGAAGGGGAAGATAGAGATGGGGTCCTCCCACAAAGGGATAGCATGAGCCAGGTTAGGAGAGAGAAATGTCCTTGTGATCTGGTAGCACATGGGATTGTGTGGCCAGGTTAGGGAACGAAGACACTCCAGGATCTGATAGTACATTTCTCACCTAAGTGGTGGGCAGGGGGAGAGGAGTAAGGGTTCTCTCATTGTGCTACCTGTTTATAGGCTGGATGGGCCCGGTTAGGGGAGAAGATAGGTTTTCTGGGATCCAATAGCATATGCCATATATTGGTAAATTTTTGGAGGTTTAAGCAGCAACAAGTAGTATTGAAACCAGCCTCCAGATCGGTGCCTTGTTATCATATGTTCATTTATTGAGGCTAGTCTTGTTATTACTGTAATTTCATTTGCTGAGACCGAGTGAAAGGCCATGTAAAACTGAAAGTAAGTACAAAACTGTGCTTGCTGGTGCCGCTGTACTGATCTCTTTCCCTACTGCTCCAGCTGACACTAGCCTCTTCCATGTCCCCTCCCCCTTGTATTCCACGAGCTTCCAGCCAAGGAGATAAAATGTCGGGCTGCTCCTGGCAGCTACCTTGTAACGTCTGAAGTGCCTGTGTTAAAACTATTTGGTGTGTTCCTGTTAAAAAAAAAAAAAAAAAAAAAAAAAAAAAAGGACCTAGTAAGGTTTGGGCAAAACTTGCAGTAAAGAGGAAAAGAATTTGGGTGATTTTGTGAGAGGTCTTCAAGCTGATTTGCTGAATGCACCATTGGATAAACATGGAATTGCAATTGGTACATGCTGTATGTTTGAATGGTGAATGTTCACAAAGTGTTAGAAAAAAAAATTCCTCTATGTCCAAAGTTTTCAGTGTATAAATGATGTCCAGTTGATTGACAAGTTGTATCATCATTTGCAGTGCCTTTGGTTGTCTGCCAGCAGGAGTGTCTGATTCATATCAACACAATTCATGGCCTGCTTGCCAAGTAAAGGTTCCTGAAACAGCGTAGGCAGCTATATAATGCTGAATCCGTTAGTTAAAATTACTGCTGCCTTTTACAAAGGAAAGAACTCCATTTCTGATAAAGCTGGCATTACACGACAGACTTGTAAATCCTGCCAAAAGTTAGCCCACTTGTTTTACCACATTATATGGACCCTAGGTCCTACCTGGCTCTTAAAGATTGACTGCATCATCCATCAGCAGAAGAATGGATAAAGAAAATGTGGCATATAGACACAGTAGAATACTATTCAGTCATAAAAAGAAGGAACATGGATAAACTTGAAGGACATTGTGTTAAATATGCCAGGCACAGAAGGCAAACTATGTGGAATGTTCTCACTTCTATATAGAAACTAAAAAAGTACTAAGTAGCAGATCCAGGACTTAAACACAGGTCTTTTTACTGGAAATACCAACTAGGGATGAGGTTAAAAAGGTTGGGCCGGGCGCGGTGGCTCACGCCTGTAATCCCAGCACTTTGGGAGGCCGAGGCGGGTGGATCACGAGGTCAAGAGATCGAGACCATCCTGGTCAACATGGTGAAACCCCGTCTCTACTAAAAATACAAAACATTAGCTGGACATGGTGGCGCGTGCCTGTAATCCCAGCTACTCAGGAGGCTGAGGCAGGAGAATTGCCTGAACCCAGGAGGCGGAGGTTGCGGTGAGCCGAGATTGTGCCATTGCACTCCAGCCTGGGTAACAAGAGCGAAACTCCGTCTGAAAAAAAAAAAAAAAAAAAAAAAATGTTATCTGGGATCAGTGTGTGACTGGGAAGCTCCAGTATTTGGCTTTTTAGCCAGAAGTTTTCTGAGCAGAGGAATGTCATGATTAGAGCTGTGCTTCAGGAAAGTTAATCTTGCAGAAGTGTATACAATTGAAAGAGATATATATGGATTTATAAGACTAGAAGAATGGAATAGTAGTTACTAAAAGCTGGGAAAGGGGGGAGGAGGATAGCTAGAGGTTGGTTAATGGATGCAAAATTACAACTAAGGAGAAATAAGTTCTAGTGTTTTATAGCACTGTAGGACGGCTATAATTAATAACAATTAACCGTATATTTTCAAATAGCTAGAATAGATTTTGAATGTTCCCAAAAAAGAAATGATAAGTGTTTGAGGTCATGAATATGCTAATTATCCTGATTTGGTCATTACACATTATATAAGTGTATCAAAACATTCCATTGTATTCTATAAATATGTACAACTATTATATGAATAAAAATAATAACAAAGTGGCTGCTACTTATATAAAATAAACTTTCCCTTGGGGCCTTAAGATTGACTATACCAGACCTCTTAACCCCCTTCCGTGCTATTGGTGATGCTGTACTGCTCTTAAGACTTTTTTGGTTACAGTCAGTGACAATTTTATCAATGACTGGTAATACCATTATGGTCCTTGAAATTTATCTGTGTTTTGTTTTATTTGATGGACAGTCCACATTATCCAAGTGGCTATAACTGATATTGTTAATTGTATTATAAAAATGGGTGTTTTGCATATGTGTAATACTTCTCTTGATTGTAAGGGGTGTTATCTGGTGAAGAAATGACATGATTTTATCAGTAGTAATGATATGATTTGATCAGTAGTAATGGAATGAGTATGTGGTCAGGACCTAACCTGGATGTTTCAGCTTAGCTATGTGGTATCACTAAATCAGTATGGGATTCGAGGGAAAGGGAAGAGGGTGGAAGGGAAGGACTCTGTCTTGCTCAAAGAGCTTAGTAGACATAGGAACGATTAAGAAATCTATTCAACAGATTGTACAAACTGCCCCTCAATTGCAGCCTGCGAGCCACATTTGTCAGTGATTGACAATTATGTAAACTGGTACCTGTGGCAAAAAGACATGGCAACTAGACAGTGGCACTCATTGGGGTTATGGACATGACACAATTGTTCGGCTATGGAAATATTTGATGTCTTTGGAGACTTAACCCATTGTGAAGACATAATTCAGGAGGAATTGTGAACCTGTGTATTTTTTCTACTTTAATTCCATGTTCTCCATTTCCTAAGGGTGGACAGCCTTACCTTTAAAATTATTACAAAATACCTAAGCAAAAATCACTCCTTCTCTCTAAGTATGCTTGCTACTATCACTAAGATCTAGGCAGGCAATTAAGGCTTTTGATTTTAAACTCTTAACTCTTTCAGTGCCTCTTAGGCTATAAACAGGAATGGCAGTACTGTCTGTGTTCTTTAATAGAGGAGGTGATGTAAGAACGAAGAAAATAAAATGATCACCAATAAACTGTAATGTGTGTAACATGCATCATCGTTTACCAAAATTGCTCCTTCAGCTTTTCTCCATAGTCACTGTTTACTGTATGTGTACATAAACAGTAAAGGGACTAAAAGGCAAGAAATAATCAGACAAAAATGGAGCAAAATGCTTTGTATATGGGAGTGTTATTAATACTTTTTCCAAAGACTCTGAAGTTTGAAGGTGGAAAGGCAGATTGCAGATTAGTCATGTGAAATCTGGAAATCAGCTTTAGAACTAAATCTGCCATTATCTCTGTTGTTCTCTGTAATTTAGTAAGTACACTACCATTAATGCTCCCTGATACCTTTTGGGACATCCAAAAGAGGGAAACAAAGGGTATTTTCTATGTCTTGGAGTCACTGAACTAGAGATTTTAATAGAATATTGGAAAAGGGGATCTAATATCACAGATTTCTACCTTTTGCAGATAATGCTGTAGATCCAGATGTATCCGCCAGGACGGTCTTTATAGATGTTGAGGAGGTCAAGAATAAATCTTGTTTGACATTTACCGATGATGGATGTGGGATGACCCCTCATAAACTACACCGAATGCTCAGGTAAAAATGTCTTCATTGTCTTTTTCTTGTGTTAAGTTCATGAACCCTATTTAAGGCTTCATAATTTTCATTAATATTTTGCTTTCCTTTTGTTAATTCAACAAATATTTATTAAGCATCTCTTATGTGCCAGGGCTCTGATTGTGAAACAAATACTGTTCCTGTCCTCACAGAGCTTTCAGCCTAGCTGGCAATTCAGACAATTAAATGCGTAATCAATAAAAAGCTGTAAGCATAATGGTAAGAAGGTACAGAATGCTTGAGACAAATCATCGGAGGAACCCAATCTGATCCTAGAGGTTAGGAAAAGTCTCCTGGAAGAAATGATATTTAAGCTGAGATCCAAGGGTGAATACAGTTTAACCGAGTAAAGGGACAGGGAGCAAGGGATGACAGTTTAAGCAAAGAGAACAGCAATGTAAAGACCCAGAGGTCTTCACTTGTTTGAGACCATCTCCAATTTATATTAACCTAAACTCACTCTTAAACCAGAAATATTGGAGTTGGGATGATTTATGGATTAGAACCATGAAGGTGGCTGGTTATAATCAAACTCTGTGCAAGATAAATGGAAGGCATTCAGGCACATACTCTTTAAAGGTTTTGCAATAGAATCACAAACTTAGGAAATTCTCTTTTCTAACTGTTGAAGCTGGTGCTAGATTTCTGTTGCCACTCCCAGTTTACTTAATCACTTTAAAAATTTGTAGTTGAGAACATAAGTTTGTACTATATCATCTTCACATACCACTCAGTGGAAGATGAGTGTTTCTTCAACTCCTCCCTTCTCTCTTCCTTTTTAGCAAATCAGGTTGATTATTCTCCCTGTGGCTTCCTGAACTAGAGTGTGCAAAGCACTAGTAACAATAGAGGAGCGCTGTGGAGGAAGGAAGGAGCTCTGAACTATAAAAATGGAAAACAAATTCATGTGATTGTAGTTACTCTTGTCGGTATTCTAAATCAATTACTCTGTTTGTAGGGAAATCCCTTTGATCCATCAAAGAAACAAAAATGAAATTTGGGCGAAGTACATGGTTGCGCTTTACCACTCAACAGTCTGTATACCTTGTGTCTCAGATCCTCCTAATTAGAAGACTATTTGAGGAAAACCTCTAAAAGTGAAACAAGAATTGTGACCAGTATGTTAGTGAAAGTAGAGAGTTGGCCCAATCCTTCAGCTTATGACATCAGTTTTATATTCTGAAGTTAATATTATATATTAAGAAAAATACAATTTTAGATGGGACAAAACCAAAGCATTTATATATTCAATTCTATGTATACTAGTTGGTTGTTTTTCCTCTAAAAATTACTTATCTTCTTTTTTTTTGAGACAGCCTCACTCCATCACCCAGGCTGCAGTACAGTGGTATGATCTTGGCTCACTGTACCTTTGGCCTCCTGTGTTCAAATGATCCTCATGCCTCAGCTTCTTGAGTCGCTGGGGTTACAGGCATGTACCACCACACCTGGCTAATTTTATTTTTTGTCTTTTTAGTAGAGATGGGGTTTTGCCACATTGTCCAGGCTAGTCTCTAACTCCTGACATCAAGTGATCCACCCACCTCAGCCTCCTAGAGCGCTGGGATCATAGACATGAACAACCGCACCCATCCAAAATTGCTCATTTTCTTAGTTACTCCTTCCCATCATACCTCATCCCATTGACATGGTTGTTGAATAGTGGGCCCAGCAAATCTGATCTTCCATTTTATTTTTGGAGCTACATCTGTGAAAGTTGGTTATAGTTATAAGGTGGGAGGAGGAGAATGGTTTCAAAATAATTGCACAATTTTTGTTGCAGATTCATTCATTTATTCATTCAACAAGTTCTTATCGAGCACCTGTGAGCAAGGCACTGGAGATAAAGTGGTGAATCAGATAGACATGATTCTTGGCTGACAGCTTAGTGAGAAAGAACAAAATTGACTAGTAATATAACTGAATAGGCTGTTCCACCCAGTGGTAGGTAAGTGCTATGAAGGAAGAGCACAGTTTCTTTGAGAGCAGATAACATAACAGGGCTTTTTTTTTTTTTTTTTTTTTTTTTTTTTTTTTTTTGACAGAGTCTGGCTCTTTTGCCCAGGCTGGAGTGCAGTGGTGCAATCGTGGCTCACTGCAACCTCCGCCTCCTGGGTTCCAGCAATTCTCCTGCCTCAGTCTCCTGAATAGCTGGGATTATAGGCAGGAACCATCATGTCTGGCTAATTTTTGTATTTTTAGTAGAGACGGCGTTTCACCACGTTGGCCAGGCTGGTCTTGATCTCCTGACTTGAAGTGATCCACCTGTCTTGGCCTCCATCACACCTGGCAAGGATACTGTTTATTTAAAAGAGATCATTTAAGGCCAAGCATGGTGGCTCATGCCTGTAATTCTAGCACTTCCAAAGGTCAAGACAGGCACGGATCGCTGGAGTCCAGGAGTTCGAGACCTGCCTTGGCAACATAGGACAGCTGCCCCCTTGCAAAAAATACAAAAATTAGGTGAACATTTTGGCATACACCTGTAGTCCCTGCTACTCGGGAGGCTGAGGTGAGAGGATCCCTTGAATCCAGGAGGCAGAGGTTGCAGTGAGCTGAGATGGTGCCATTGCACTCCAGCCTGGGCAAAAGATGGAGACCTTGTCTCAAAAATAAATAAATAAGTAAAAATAAAAGAGATCCTTTAGTCCAATTCTAACTTCTAGTGAAGGGTTTTACTTATTATAATTTCTTTTTTTTTTTTTTTTTTTTTTTTTGAGACGGAGTTTCACTCTTGTTACCCAGGCTGGAATGCAATGGCGCCATCTCGGCTCACCACAACCTCCACCTCCTGTGTTCAGGCAATTCTCCCACCTCAGCCTCCTGAGTAGCTGGGATTACAGGCACGTGCCACCATGCCCAGCTAATTTTTTGTATTTTTAGTAGAGACGGGGTTTCACCGTGTTGACCAGGATGGTCTCGATCTCTTGACCTTGTGATCCACCCGCCTCGGCCTCCCAAAGTGCTGGGATTACAGGTGTGAGCCACCGTGCCCGGCCAGTAATTTCTTTTTAAATAATCAAATTTTAGAAGTAGCTTTGAAAATTATTAGGTATATGATATTTTCTGTTTTTTATTTGAAGGCATATTACTTTTGTATTTGGAAAAAAAAAGAAGCAATTATGCAAAATTATTAAGCCTACTGAAGCTCTGTTTGGCCTCTAACGTTTGTTGTTACCCTGTCCGCACTTTCCAACTCTTTTTGCAATTCTATTTTCAGACTGATAAAATAGTTGTGTAACTGTAGCAACAGTTTCTTCCATAAACACAGAATTGCATGAAAATAAAATTAAAAAGGAAAAACCTATTATGAAATTCCTTTGGGCTGGATGTGGTGGCTCACACCTGTAATACCAGCACTTTGGGAGGCCAAAGTGGGTGGATCATGAGGTCAGGAGGTCGAGACCATCCTGGCTAACATGATGAAACCCGGTCTCTAATAAAAATACAGAAAATTTGCCGGGCATGGTGGCATGCCCCTGTAGTCCCAGCTACTCAGGAGGCTAAGCCAGGAGAATCACTTGAACCTGGGAGGTGGAGTCTGCAGTCAGCCGAGATCGTACCACTGTACTCCATCCTAGGCAACAGCCAGACTCCGTCTCAAAAAAAAAAAAAAAAAAAAAAAAATTCCTTTAAGTACCGTAACTGATTATCTTTAGCTTCTGGGGATAGTGTGTGGGTCAGTTAGTCTGTATATTCAGCTACCTTTTCTCAGCAAGGTGGAAAACCTCTTTCAGAGTTCAAAGGCTATAAACAGCCACAGAACTACAGAAGATATTTGCTACCTGTGCTCAGTAGTGTGCTTCCTAGCAGGTGTATTCTTCTAAAACAGTAGCTGGAAAATAACAGTCTGCTTAGCAGTCTCTGATTCTTTTATATTGCATATTAAATCACCAATATAACTAGGAAATAGCAGTGCCTGCCCTTATGTACCCATGGATTTTGCTAAGGTTTGTTTCATTGGTCATAGTACCTATTTATTTATTTATTACTTTTCTTAACTTTTATGTTAGGTTTGGAGATATAGGTGAAGGTTTGTTATATAGGTAAACACATATCATGGCAGAGTTCCAATTTGAATTCACCTGTCTGGATTCTGGATTCTTGACATTTTAAGATACTGCAGAGCAAACTGCTGTACTTTTGGATTCCACTAAAAGTGGAATTGGTATTCAAGCCACCTTGATGTGTAAACAGTGTTGTCTCTTACATGAGAGGATAGAGCAGGACTGACTTAGCAAATAGAAACCACCTAAGCCAAGTTAGTCAGCTCTGTGGAAAATTATTACTGAACTATAGCAAACTATCAAATTTCTTCCTACAATTCTATTATTAAGTGTGGTGAGGGCTTTTATATTAGGTAGTTATTTGATTGGTACCTGGCATTCATTCTGCCAATTTGCATTTAAATAGAATGCCTAACATGGGAACTTAGGTGGAATAAAAGAGCATACAGGAGGAGTTAAGTGAAACATAGTAACAACAAAAATCCAGAGTTTACAGCTCCTCTCTTCTCATTATTCTTATCCTTTTCCATTCTGGTTCTAGCCTTGCACTACTATTTATCTTCTCAATCTTGTATCAACATTTGGTCTCCCCAAATTAACACAGAGAGGGTTCATACTTACAAAGGGAAAAAGAGGTAATAAATTCTAGAAGAGGCTAAAAAAGTTAAGGGAGTCATAAACTCCCTATTTTCACCACTTTCCCTTGATCACCTAAGTGAAGATTTTGTGGTATAAGAGAAAGTCCAGTTAACCAAGCAAATTGATTTGAAGTGGTGGGTGACATTACTATTTATGAAGAGCCCTGAGTTTTAGGTGTGACCTTAGGTCTGAATTAGGAGTAGGGGATAGAACGTGACAACTATCAGAATGACTTTTAGCATTAGTTTAAAATTAGTGTATGAATACTGCTTTGTATGTAATGTATTTTGGATACAGTGTATAATTTAATCCCCATGACAAACCTATTTTTTAAAAAAGCCAATTCTTCCACAAGAAGAATGGGAATGGCTGAATCTTACTATTATAAGTTTGTATCTTGGAATACTAAGGCCTACAGGCAATAGAAACTGAATGTTCTTTTTTTTTTTTTTCCCCCCCCAGAGGACTACTGCCATGAAAATTACCTTTTTCTGTCACTAGATTTATTTGTGGGATAAACATAGCTCCTATAAAGTATCTACTCTAGAATGACTTTAGGATGACATATGATATTATTGTATAATGCTTTGAAATAGAAAATTAAAAGGTGGTCCCCTTTCTTAGTGAGTAAACATAAAACCACACCCTTCAGGAAGCCGAAATCAGATATCTTAGCTCTCCATGCTCAAAAGAATAAAATTGTTAAAAATCAGGCTGCTTAGTCGTGGTCTGCTCAGAGTATCTATTTTATTGGTGTTGAGAAGTACCTAATCTGTATTAGACTGTAAACTCTGAAGGCAAGAATCATGTCTCTTTTATTAGAAATTATGTCTTTAGTGGTTAGCTCAATGCATGGCACATAGTAGGTACTTAGTTTAAGTATTTATTGAATGAGTGGTACACAACATTGTAAAATTAGTCAATCTGGAGAGAAACAATCCTTTTTAGTGTGATTTTTTCTTTTACTGATATCTAATATTTTATATATTTATGGGGTACATGTGAATACTTTATACATGCATAGAATGTATAATGATCTAGTGAGGGCGTTTGGGGTTTCCATCACTTTCAGAATGTATCTATATGTTGGTAACATTGGAAGTCCTCTTTTCTAGCTACTTTGAAATATATGATGTATATTTGAAATATATGATGTATATTAACTGTAAGTTAGAAGAAATTCTCTTCATTTCTCCTTCTCATCCTGAGAAATAATCCTTAAAATTAGTTTTATTGATGGTGAGGGAAGATATTAAAGGAAGATAATCATTTAATTTTTAATTTTTAAGGTTCTATTATTTTGGTGTGTACCTGAAAGGAAAACACAAGAAAGGGAAAGGTTCTGCTTTTAAATTAAGCTGATCAAAAGGGGCTACAGAGATTGTTGAGGTGCCTAAGTGAAAGGTCCTTAACAGAGCAAGAGAGACTATACTGCAGCTGTTTGCTGATATTCAGAGGCAGAACTACCTATTTTTATCCCTTGGCTACATTCCAGTGAACTGTCCCAGCAGATGGAACAGAGGGTAAGAATTGGAAGGGTTATCCTTTGAGTGGAGAGTTGATATTGTCAAGATACATGATCCCTGACTTTCAGATTTCTAGAGGATGATATAAACAGGTTAGGAGATACATAATCTAGTACCTCTGACCAATGACACTATGTGTAACTTTTGTTACCTTCTCTAGGTAACTACCCTTTTCACCTTACCCTAACTTTACTTCTATAGCAGTCAGAGCTGTTTTATGTAGACAAGAAAGGCAGCTGCCCAAGGCCTTCTCCAGCTATGTTAGCTGGTGAAAAGGGGCCCTGTTTTACATTTATAAAGTGTGACTCTAAAGTAATGGAGCGATGTATGTACACACAAACCACACAGGAAAATTAGCCCATTACCCCATAGAAATTTCCTGTGTATTTAACTTAATAATTTTGCCAATAAACACCAAAAGGAATTAAAAAGGAGGGACCGTTTACCAGTGTTCTTTATTTGTAGGCCATTCTGCCTGTCACCTGTCTTAGGATGCTTTTTATCTTTCTGATTTATTTTTTCTGATGTGTTCTTTTCTTGTGTAATTGCAGCTTTGGCTTTACAGATAAAGTAATAAAGAAGAGCCAGTGTCCCATTGGGGTCTTTGGTAATGGTTTCAAGTCAGGCTCCATGCGGCTAGGAAAAGACGCCCTTGTCTTCACCAAGAATGGGGGTACTCTCACTGTTGGACTTCTATCACAGACCTATCTGGAATGTGTCCAGGCCCAGGCAGTTATTGTACCAATTGTTCCTTTCAACCAGCAAAACAATATCCTTTGTGGAAATGGAGAATGATGGTTAAAAATTAGTCTAATCTGAGTGTTTTGACAGGAACCTCTTCAGGTCAAATCTAACTATCAGAAGTTTTTAAAGAGGTATTCAAATGTCTTAAATTTAACAGGGATTTTTCTCTATTAAATATTTTAAAAATATGTGGACCATTGACAGAAACTTAGAAATGTTTTTGCTATATTGAAATTGTCATTGTTATGCAGTTTGATCTATATAGTATGTCTCTGCTCTGCCACCACCCCATGGTAAAGTTTCCCAGACCTTCCTTTTTTTTTTTTTTTTCGTAAGGATAGCTACATTTGCACTGATACTCCTAGAAACATACTATTTATCACCTTATATAATAGCAGAATAGTTCATTTCCCTGTATCTGTACTGCTGTTCCTTCTGTTAGACACCTGGTTGTCTTGACTGGAACAGTATAGCGATAAGGTTTTAACATATTGCTTCCAAAGAAGTTTAAAAAAGTCAGCCTTTGATCTTTTCTTTTAAATTTAAGACTTTGTTTACATTATATCTTTGAAGCTATATTCTGCGGGGGCAACTGATCTTGGAGTTATGTCTCTGCAGCCTTTCTCCATTTTTCACCTTTCCTCTTTATATAGCAGTAATATGCATGCTTTATGTCTATAGTTTTGTCTAAACATGCAACCCAAAGGGCAGATTTCCTTCTCAGTAGCATCCTAAGATATTAAGTTTTCTTTGACTCTATTTGGTTTTACAAAAAATGGTGATTACTGAAGATTCATTGCCCAGCCTAGAAGCCATCTTGAACTATTCCATTTTCAACAGTGAAAATGACCTGCTGGCCCAGTTTGATGCCATCCCAGGCAAAAAAGGCACTCGTGTTCTCATTTGGAACATCCGCAGGTACAGTATTCCAAGGGTGATATATTCTAATAAACAAAGGTAGTATGATGAAACACATTTTTATTTAATTTTAACTTGTTAAATTTATATAAAAAGACAGGAGATCATTATGTTACCCAGGCTGGTCTCAAACACCTGGCTTCAAGCGATATTCCCTCCTCAGCCTCCCGAATTATTGGGATTACAGATGTGAGCCACGGTGCCTGGCCTAGCACATTTTAACAACTCTTTTTAGAGAAGCAAAGTAGATAAATTTGGTATACATTTCTATCCCATTGCATACTTGTATGCAATTTTGTCTTAGAAAAACAGAGTTCTGTTTGAGATAGTGGTTCTTGTTGGTAAAATGTGGCATGTTTAAGGTGGAAATACACATATCCTGAAGCTATTGCCACAGATAATTAAGACAGTTTAACATATTCTGAGTTCCTCAGAATCCTTTATAAATATCTATTTCATATTCATGGACCTTTTTTTTGAGACAGAGTCTCTGTTGCTCAGGCTGGAGTGCAGTGGCACAAACTCGGCTCACTGTAACCTTCACTTCCAGGGTTCAGGTGATTCTTGTGTCTTGGCTCAAGCGATTCTCATGCCTCAGCCTCTCGAGTAGCTGGGATTACAGATGTGCACCATGTCTGGCAAAGTTTTATATTTTTTGTCGAGATGGGGTTTTGCCATGTTGGCCAGGCTGGTCTTGTCTTCCTGAACTCAAGTGATCCACTCACCTCGGCCTCCCAAAGTGCTAGGATTACTGGTGTGAGTCACCATGCTTGGCCAATAGGCACTGTCGTAAGTTTGGCAGTTGATAGTTATTTTGCCTAATAGACAATGACAATGAAGTATGAGAAAGAATAAGATCTTTAAAAAATAAGGACTTCTGTATTAGTGCTTTCAGTGGATTAGAAGTAGAAAAATCTGGCCAGGCATGGTGGCTCACACCTGTAATTCCAGTACTTTGGGAGGCCAAGGCAGAAGGATCACTTGAGGCCAGGAGTTTGAGACCAGCCTGGGCAACAAGGTGAGACCCTGTCTCCTTAAAAAAAAAAAAAAAAAAAAGTAGTAGAAAAATCTTTGAAGCAGAGAATATGAACTATAATCAGACTAGGTTAAGATCATGTCTTCAAAATTAATAAAACAATCTAGAAATACTCTATGGTATTTCATTTGTTTAATCTTAGCATGCCTAATGGAATACATTTAATAGTGGATTAACACCTAAACACTAAAAACAAAACAAAACAAAACAAAAAAAACTCCTAAAAACCTCTAATATAAAATAGAGGTATGACTGATACGTTTAATAGAAAAAATTATCATATATGTTTATTCATCCTTTTCTCCTTAGGTGAAGTATTTTTTCTCATTTTTTACCTGGGTATAACAAATAAAACTATGCTGGTTTATATAGAGAGTACTGTACTTAACAATTAAAAAGAAAATAAGTGTGACTGTCAAATTGGTAATTGTGTCCTACTGAGAAAGCCTCAAGTAATATAATTTGTATTACAAAGAATTTTTGAGGTATTTCCAGTGATTTACATATCTTAAACAGAACTTTTTCTTTGTACATCATTTCCCAATTATGTATATGGTACTAGGTGTTATACAGGTTGACTTTCCCTAATCCAAAAATCTAAAATCTAAAATTCTACAAAATCTAAAACACTTTGAGCACAGACATGACAACTCAAAGGAAATGATCATTGGAGCATTTCGGATTTTGTATTTTTAGATTGGAATGCTCAACCACTAAGTATAATGCAAATATTTCAAAATCCAAAAGGATCCAAAACACTTCTGGTCCCAAGCATTTCAGTTAAGGGATACTCAAAATGTATAAATAAAGGATTACATGGTCAAATAAACTTGGGAAAAGCTGGCTAAATGTTTACCATGCTGCTCTACTGTAGGACTTCTCAGAGTCCTAGAGTTCTTTCATATGCTAATGTGCATTGAAAATATGTAAAAGAGCAATATAGTATGCAGTATTTCCCAATCAATTTTTACAAAGTATTTCTTCAGGTTGGGTGGTGGCTCACACCTCTAATCCCAGCCCTTGGGAGGCTGAGATGGGAGAATTGCTTGAGCCTAGAAGTTGGAGGCCACAGTGAGCTATGATCATGCCACTGCACTCCAGCCTGGGCAATACAGCAAGACCCTGTCTCTCAAAAAATGTTTCTACAGACCTTTTTTCCTTAGATGGGGAAGGTAAGGGACGAGGAGGACAGAGAATCTCCTCAGGGCATATGCATTGGGGTTGGGTGGGGTAGTGAGAAGCAGGATTATTCTGGAAAATCCATAATATGTTACTGTACATTGACATGGGCATGATACAGACAAAAGATCATTATGACTCTGGTGCAGCCCTGTAAAAGGAGCTACATTTTCAACACAGCAACTCTGAGCTTACAGAGCCTGAGGTATGAAGCAGAGTTATCACTAGAGCTCGCGATGACTCTGAAGGCTAAGAATTGTTTTTCTATTTTATTTGGCCATACAACTTTTATGTATTTATTTCTTCTTAGGAGTATCTTGAGAGACTACTGTTCCACCGAACAAACTTTGGGAACTATTGTTTTGATATAAATGTTTTCTCTAAAACCTGTCATTTGAGTTTTTTTCCAGGAATAAAAATGGGTCTTAACCTTTTTTCCCTGGCAGTGGTTAGTGATACAGCTCAGGGTCTTGGAATGGATCACAACTAAGTGGCCCCAAAAGATTATGGGAAGAAGGAAGGTCTTTATGAAAGGAAGTACCATTATGTTTAAATGATAATTATATAAATGGTATCCTAGAGGACTAGTAAATATATGCTGTTTTTATAACAGTCTTTTTTTCCTTTTAAGAAATAGGATTTGATCTGGAGAGATCTTAATCTCTTATTAGTCTGAAGTTAGTAGAACTAGGTTTTGATTCATTCAGTTGGGGAAAATGATGTTGAGTGACTTACTAACAATACCCAGAAAGCTTCTGTCTATTTTAAGATCCCACTTTTGAGGATAGCTGGCATCCATTTGATTTATCAGATCATAGACATTCCATATTCTTTTTATTTCCTTATGAATGTGGCATCATCACCTCTATGAAAGAGTAGATTTGTTTAGAATAGGAATACCCTTAAGTATTGTGTGATCCTCTACCAAGTAGTTTGTAGTTCCTTTGTACTGGTAGTCAGGGAAAGAAACAGATACTTGAATTTTGGCTCGTATTATTTCTTTTCTCTTGGGTTTCTAGTGCATTTTTTTTTGTCCTTTGGAGCCAGTTTTTGTTAGATTGGTACTTGTCTCTTTCCCCCAGAAATAAAGATGGAAAGTCTGAGTTGGACTTTGATACAGATCAATATGACATCCTGGTATCAGACTTTCACACAGAAGAAAAAGTGACTGGCGATGTTACCTCTGAGCTGCCAGAAACAGAATATTCTTTAAGGGTAAGTCAGATGGTTTTTCAGCAATGAGAGGTAAGATTTCCAATAACCTGAAAATATTGTAGAACAAGATACTCTTTTAGTTATACAATGATGACAACCTTCCAGCCTGTTCTAGTATACCTTTTTCTTGTCTCCATTGAGACAGTTTAGATAATATAGTCAGCAGTACTTTAGTGTGATAGTTTACATAGTGTAATAAGGTGTAGAAACTGAGCCAAAGCTTTGCCCAGCATAGATATCAGTTGGTAGCAGTATTTTATGGAGATGTCAGCAGAATTCGCAATATCACATAATAACTTTCCCTTCACTGTTCTGTTCCATAGGCGTTTTGTGGTATTCTGTACATGAAGCCACGGATGAAAATTTTTCTGCGTCAAAAGAAGGTGACTACCCAGATGATTGCCAAGAGCCTGGCCAATGTAGAATATGATACATATAAACCTGCCTTCACAGTATCCTTACAACTACACAACTACCTGAAGTTGACCTTTTAATGTCAGGATTAAGTTTTCAGATTGACACAGAAAAACAAAAACTTTCCCTTTCCAATTCAAAAATATTTGCCATAGTACACATTCTATTACAGTGTACTCTGAGGAAATCTTTCTTAAATGCCAATCTGTGTACCACTTTTATCAGAAATCACCTGGAAACTTCTGAAAATAGAATCAGGACTTTGGAGATTCTGTTTCAGTAGAGTCTGAAACTTTTTTTTTTTTAATAAGAAATATTTATTTATTTAAAAATCCTCAGCTGATTCTGATGAGCAGCCAGGTTTGAGTATCTCTGCTGTAGGGAATAATCCACATCATTTGGTTTCTACTCGGATTTTGATATATATTAAATTGACTGAAATAAGCACAATACTGACTAGAACTTTTTAATCTTTTAGATATACTGCAATTTTTTGTTGTAAGAGGTCCAGACTTACATTGATTGAAGTTAGGAAGGTGGAAATTAAAGGTTGGTTTTCTAGAGTGAAATAAGTCTTCTTAGGTTTGACATAAATTCCTCGTTCTTCTCATAATAGTAGCCACTCAGAGGAGCCATTACTTGTTTTCACTTCTACCTCTCCTCCACACTGCACTGAGAATGGATTTCAGAGACTAGAAAACATCTTAAGATGAACTGTGGATATTAGGTACAACTTTGTTGATGGCTTTTGGGGCAAAAAGGCTAAGAACTTGCAAGGTTATGAAAAATTGTTCTTTTAATCTATTTTCTACTAACTAAGCACCACTCTTGGCCCAAGAAACATGTTCACCCTCTGCTTTGTCAAAGGCATTATCTAGCATGCCTTGTCTTTCCTTGACCCAAAATGAAAAGTCATTGTTCTCTCTTTTCTCATTTTTGGGAACACATATCTTGGCTACTAGGAAGGTTTTCTTAAAGTGCTAAACAAATCCAATTTAATAAAGCCAGAACTAGCATTGTTTGCTTCTATAGGTGAATTAGTTATAATCTCACCAGATGTAGACTAGAATGTTAGTGCTATAGGTTTAACAGAACCAGCCTAAAGAAGTGCTTTCCAACTACTGTTTTAGGATATAACACATACTTGTCTCCAGCTTCTTTCTTTTGTGGATTTCTATCACGGAAACTTCTATGCATGTGTTCCATATATTACCTCAACTCTTTTCAGCCTCCCTTGCCATAAATCAGATTACCTTCCAATATTATAGTTTGGACTAAACAGGTTTACTGTAGGCATGAGTAAAATGAAAGACCTAATCTAATTTACTCCAAGGTCACTGAGGAGCAAGATCATTGATACTAACTTAGTTACTTCTCAATTATCAAAGGCAATTTCTTTCATCTTTGTTCTCTCTCCTTACACTAATTTGCTGAGTTTCCTACCCCAGTATATTCTCACTCTATAATTTGGAATTTTAAAAGTACACAACAGAAAGAAAAATTGGACAGTTTTTATCTTTACAAAGTTAATTTTGTGGCATGGGATTTCGGTTTGCTTGCTTGCAGGAGTTTTGTCTTCTTTTGTTTTTATATTAGGATAGATCTTACTTGAGGTTTTATTTGAACTGCTAGAGCAATAACATTATATATTCTGAGCCAAACATTACTGTGTTATGCACCCACTTGTGTCATGTCTTTGTGTCAAACATGACCTATTTGTTACAGGGTTTTGACACAAGTAGCTTTTCATTTAAGAGGGGGCATGGAGATCATTTTTTGAATAAGTAACAAAAATAAATTTTCATTCACCTCATTTGGACATAAAGGTTTTTTAGTATTTGTTTTAATGAAAATCTCAGTTTCTCTGTCTCTCCTTTATCTTTCTCACTTACCTTGGTTTTTAAATTAAGTAGGACTTGTTAAAAACTCATCATTATTTACCTTCTACTTATAATAATTAGTTGTCTTAGTTTCATCTATCCAAGCTTGTTAACTTCTTCCCATGAAATATATCACTACAGGACTATTCATTGTTCTTTAAAATGAATCTTTCTCACTTACTTACCTTGGTTTTTAAATTAAGTAGGGCTTGTTAAAAACTTATCATTATTCACGTTTTACTTATAATAATTAGGTAGGACTTGTTAAAAACTCATTATTCATGTTTTACTTATAATAATTAGTTGTCTTCATATCTTCTAACCAAGCTTGTTAACTTCCTCCCATGAAATGTATCACTACAAGACTATTCATTGTTCTTTAAAAATTTTGTTCTTGTTGCTTTGTTTTCATTGTGTTTGGTATTGTAAGAAGGATTTACCTTATTGGATGTAATCGTACAGATTTGTATTGGAGCATTTACAGCTCTTATCATAACCTATGAGCCCTAGCAGAAAATTGAGCAACTAGCAAAGGCTAAGAAATTTTTTGTGATTGTCAATTTTTAAATCACTGATGGTATTTTTGTATCTTTTCTTATAGTCTCTCTGTGTGTGTGTGTGTTTGTGTGATGGTTTTATAATCTGAGAATTTCCTAATCTCAAATATTTCAAGGACATAATTTTAAAAGAGCTGCATGAAGCTATATCAATGTTTATTTAATCATTTGTTGAGCATTTAAATTATTTATGTTTTTCTGCTTTTATAACAAATTGAAAAATCTCTGTAATTCCTAAAACCTGTGGGCCTCCCTGAATGTTTCTGTGGGATAAATTCTTTAAAAGAGAATTACTTGGTCAAATATTAAGAATATTCTTAAAGCTATTGCAACAGAGTTTTTAAATGCCCTCTCGAAAGGGTGTACCAATTTATGGCCCTTGGTGTTTGATGGTTTTTGCTATAATATGGTGCAAAAGTTTGTTGTGAAGCCCCTGGTATGTTTGTCTCCTTAACAATGTTCTTCTCAGAATAAGCAGGTCAGAATCACTTTTGGGTTCTCTTGCAAGAATAGTAACCAGTTTGGAATAATGATGTATCATAACAACCGACTCATAAAATCCTTTGAGAAGGTGGGGTGCCAGGTGAAGGTGAGTGGTTAATATTTGTGTCATAGGAGGCTGAAAAGAGTAGGAAGATAATTTAAAATTTGCAAAGGGGATAGGCTCATTAATGGCTTTTACTCCATCTTATGATGCTTATTGAATTCTGATCCTGGAATTATGTTACCATTGAGCTGTCTTGTGTTGAAAAACTCTTTCTACCTCTCATTCTTCAGATGTTAATCAACCCAACAACTTTACTGAACGCATTTTCTAAGTAGCTGTTAATAATAAGAGTCAGAATTAGAATACCAGCACGTTTACCGTGGCGTCAGCTTATTTGTGTTTTAGGTAACTCTTTCCATTTTCTTGGGGAGACAATAAGGCATAGTGGAAGGCACATAAAATATGGTGGTTGAAGACCAGGATTTGGGTCCTGAATTTTCCATTTACCTTGGATAAATTGTTTAACTTATCTGAGGCTCAATTTCCTGACCTGTAAAATGGAAATAACAATAATAAGCATACCTGCTTTGCCTGCCTCTCAGCTTACAGGGTTGAGAGACTTAAATGGGTAAAATTATGTGAAAATATTTTTTAAACCACCCTATACAAATTTTACCATCATCTTTAATGTCTACAAGTATCCCTTTTATTCCTATTTTACAGATAAGTTTGCTAAAGCACAAAGAATGATGAACTGCTTCATCATAGTGAGACAGTTATATAAAGCCCAGGATAGCTCATTTTCAGCCTATTTTGTTTTTCCTTGTTATAGCATCTTTAGACAACTCACGTTTGTGTGCCAATCTAATTATGCCTTGACTCAGTTTCTTCCATTAAAGGATTAGAAAATGATGTAAACCTAAAAACCCTTGTGTCAACTTGTAATTAATAATTGCTGTAAGTGTGATTCTCTTTAGTAGTTGTTAGGTGGCCTATGTATGTGGAAAAAATGTTTGTTTTAATATAGGATCACATAGCACCCTTAAAATTGTTTTCAGATGAATATTTATTTCAGTTCCTTAGAACAGTAGTATATAAACTTGGTTTTTTAGCACGGTAATTCTTTATTCAAATGCAGTCTTATGGCAGTCCTGGAATATAAAGCAGATACAAGTGGAGGGAGTGTGGTGAAGTAGAGATGGCTGCTAATTCTAGAAGACTGCTAGGGAATCTATGGATCATATTTTGAAAATCTCTGCCCTAGAAATGTTCAGAATTTCCAGTTCAGTTTAATGCTAGCAGTCTGTTGGTATATATTCAAAGTGTTTCTCTAGATCTTGATGGTCTTTTCTTGCCCATGAATGTTATGTAACCTTTCTATTATTGTTTGGAATCAAAAGGAAATGCCTCTAGGCAGCCAACAGTAATGTAAGTGTTGAAATTAATATTTTCTTCTAAGCCAACTCGTGGAGAAGGTGTAGGAGTAATTGGAGTCATTGAGTGCAATTTCCTAAAACCTGCCTACAACAAACAAGACTTTGAGTATACCAAGGAGTACCGGTGAGTCAATCCTAACCTGAGGTGCTTCCATTAGTTTGTTCAGATATGATTCTACTCTCCAAAGCCTCTAAAACCATCTCTAAAAACCAGCTAAATAAGTTAACTGAGAATTACTTCAAATTTGTTTTCCAAGATTAGAGGTAAAATGATTTCATTTTAAAATTAAAGTTTGCTGAATGGCATATAGAGTCTCATTGAGATAAACCTTACCTTTAGAAATTATACATATACACCATGGAGTATTACGCAGCCATCTAAAACGATGAGTTCGTGTCCTTTGTAGGGACATGGATGAACCTGGAAACCATCATTCTCAGCAAACTGACACAAGAGCAGAAAATCCAACGCTGCATGTTCTCACTCATAGGCGGGTGTTGAACAATGAGAACACATGGACACAGGGAGGGGAGCACTACACACTGGGGTCTGTTGGGGAGAAATGGGGGAGGGACAGAGAGGGTGGGGAGGTGGGAAGAGACAGCATGGGGAGAAATGACAGATACAGGTGAGGGGACAGAAGGCAGCAAACCACACTGCCATGTGTGTACCTATGCAACAATCTTGCATATTCTTCACATGTACCCCAAAACCTAAAATGCAGTTAAAAAAAAAAAAGAAAAGATAGTTTCCAGTGAGGTTATTACAATTAGCTCTGCTATGGACATTCTTTATATGTCTTTTGGTATACATAAACAATGATGCCTGTTTGGAATTATACTTAGGACTGGAGATGCAAAGTTATATGACATGCAGACGTACAACACTATTAAATGGCACCAAACAATTTTCCAAAAAAAAAAAAAAAAGAAAGAAATTATGCAAAGAGCATAGGAGTAATTTGGTAAAAGATGTCTGGTGAAATGAAAAGCTTTGGAATTGATCTTAATGGAAACAGATGAGTGGATCTGAAATTACGGATTACACTGGGGAAAAAAGGCAGTTTGAAGTTCGTTCCAAAAAATTTTCTTGAAGACAGTGAACAGATTTAGAGGAAAGTGATAGAACAGCGGGAAAGACATGTGCTTTCATTAAAGCAGCTAGATTTAATAGGGCAGGCAAACAGGTAAGAATCAGAAAGGAACCTGACATTATGGCTGAACCAGTAGGGATATTTTTAGAAGACAAAGGAGTTTTTAAAGCTAGGTTAGAATAGTTTATTTTAAAAATGTCAAGAGGGAGATGGGTCTTTATTTCATTAAGTATTATGAGATAGCTTTTATGTGCCAGGTACTAGGGATGAAAAATAAGACTCTTTGACACCTATGAACAAGTATATATGCAAATAAGAAACTTAAATACTTACAAAATAATTACTTTAATAAGGGATATGTGCAAAGGGGGGAGAACTTTATGCTTGAGAGAGTCAAGGAAGGCTTCACAAGCAGATTATATTTGAGCTTAAATATGAAGGAAAGGTTAGAATTTTCTGGATGGACAATAGAGGAAGGACATTTTAACCAGAGGGAAGTATCTGCAAGGGCACAAAAGGGTAAGGGGTATTCTGGGAGTATGGAGAAAGAAGGCATGAGGACATTTGCTGTCATTTTCCTTGAAGTCTCAGTAGCAAATATTTTTCTTAGAGTGGGAGAAAAGAAATTTCCCAAATCTCTTTTGTTTTGTGCCCAAACTGTAATAAAGTTAAGTCTTGTACCTTAATTTGTCTTGAACCACGAGAATTTTAGGTTTAGTGTTTGACAGAGGCAGCTATTAGAATGGCAACTCCAAATTAATTTCAGGGTAATTGGTTCCTGGTTACTTGGGGTACTCAGTGGTTATGACAACTACCTGTCCTCAGTCTAAGTAAAATGGTCATTTCAATATAAATCTGGCCCATAATGGAAATCTTTGACCAGGACTTGACTGACTCTTAAGAGTGAAAGCTTGGGAAAGACATCAGTTTGACAAAAGTCTCCAAGCCAAGTTATTATGTTTCACTTGAGTGAAGAGAATAGTGAATTGCTGATGACCACCTAAATAATTAAGAGTTGTGAAACTCAAATGTTTGATATTAAAAATTATTTAACATATTTCTATATCATCTTTGCCACCAACCCCCTAAATCTACCTTTTAAGTTTTACAGGCATTAGACTTTTGGTTTTTGATGTCGAGTTCTGGTATGATGAGGTGATTGCAGTAGATTCAGAGAGAGAGAGTCTATAGACAGTAGATTTATTCAGTTGAACACACAGGATTTCTGACTTAACATATGCTACATACTTTATTAAAAACAGAGAACTAGTATACTATTCTTCTTACAGTCTTTTGAGGATAACAAATTTGCATAACTCTTATGCCAGTTCTTCTTGTGCCAGTTCTCTTGTGCCAACTCTTGTACCATTGCCCTTTTTTATCCAATCTATTTTACATAAAATGAAAAGGTATTTAAATTAAAAACATAGGAATTTAAGAGAGGGATTAGAGAAGATTGCTATAGCAAACTCATCCTGTGAGTATTACAGATAACAAAATCTGCAGATGATAAGAGATACCAGCCATCATACTTCTGGAATGTCTACAAATAAATCATCTGTAATATCACTTTTAACAGTTATGGATGTGATTTCAGCTGCAACTATCAGGGCTCAAACTTAGAACATTTTAAAGTGAATTTCAGTTTAAGAAATGTAGTCAATACATATTAATTGAACACCACTGGTATATAACACAGTGGCTGGGCTTTGTGGAATTTTCCAGAGAAATTCACGACATGGTTGCTTGCTGTCTTTAAGGAGCTTACAGTCATTTGTATCAACAGATTGTAACATATATGAAGTAATTTGGAGAGCAATACAGTGGCTCTTTGATCAGTCAAAACCTAAGTGGTATGTTATGGGGGAAATGCCCTGATAGAGTAGATGGGGAAGGTTTTGGATAGAAAGTGTGATTTGAGATGTGCCTTACATGATTAAGATGTGGAAGAGACTAAAGGAATTCTAGGATGAAATTGTAGCATGAGCTAAGGTAGTGACAGGAACTGAGAATGGTAAGAATATGGGGAGTGGAGATAATGGGATATAACCAGAGTGAAGGCAAGCCAAGTTAAATGGGTAGAGTTGGGCCATATTCTGGAGGAGCAGTTGGCAAACTTTTTCTGAAAAGGTCCAGAAAAGTTCACAACTACTTAATTTTGAGTATGAAAGCAGCCATAGACCCTAAGTAAAGGAATGAGCATGGTTGTGTCTAATACAGTTTTGTTTACAAAAACAGGCAGTGGGCTGGATTTGGCTCCAGTTTGCTGACTCCTGTCCTAGAACCATCATTCCTAAACTACATGCTAAGCTACCCATAATGAATTCATAGGAGAGCCATGAAACATTTTACATTTTTGAGGGAAATACAGTGATACTCAACTTCTGTCTATAAACCACAGAAATTATGCTCTATTGCTGTCATAACAAATTACCACATAACTTAGTGGTTGAAAACAATATTAATTTACTGTCTTAGTGGTCTGTAGGTTAGATGTACACAGATCTCCCTGGGCTATAATCAAGGTGTTGGCAGGGCTGCATTCCTTTCTGGAGACTCTAGGAAAGAATCCATTTTCCTGCCCTTTCCAGCTTATGGAGGTTGCCAGCATTCCTTGCCCATGGCCCTTTTCTTTCAGCTTCAAAGCTAGCAGCGATAGGTTGAGTCCCCATATTGCATCACTCTCATGACTTTGCTTCTGTCATCACATCTTCTCTGATTCTAACTCTGCTGCCACACTCTTCTACTTTTAAGTTTCCTTGTGATTGCATTGGATAATTCAGGATATTCTTCCTATCTTAAGGTCAACTGATGAGTATCCTTAATTCCCACTTGCTGTGTAAACATTATGTCTATCACAGTCTGCCCTTTGTCCCCTCAGATTCCACTTACATCTAATATGCAAAATATGTTCACCTCATCCCAACGTTTCCAAAATTTTCCACCCAAACAGCATCAGTGCAGAGTCAAAAATTTCATGTAAATGTCATCTGCTCACAAGTCTCAAATCTCATTATCGAAATCACGTAAGAGTGACACTCTGAGTATGGTACATCTTGGGGTAAAATTCCTCTACATCTGTGGATATGTATTTTCTCTTGTATTTTGCTGTTAAAATACAATGGTAAAACAAGCATAGGATACTAATTATATATATTATTGTTCTAATGGGGGAGAAACTAAAAGGAAAAAAGGAGTCACAAGTCCTAGGCATTTTCAAAATCTAGCCCGGCTAATGCATTACAAATTATTTATGATTTTTGACAACACAATGTACAAAGATGTAATTTTGTGATATCAACAACTGAAAGGAATGGTGATAGAACTTTTAAAGGAGCAGAACTTTTGTAAGGAATTGAAGTTAAGGTGGTATAAATCCAAATTAGAGTGTCATAACTTAAAGATGTTAAATATATTCCCATGAAAACCACAAAGAAAATAACTATAGAATATACACAAAAGGAAATGAGAAAGGAATTCAAATGTTTCACTACAAAAAACAAATATCACCCAAACACAAAAGACAGAACTGTATGAAATGAAGGGCAAAGAAAGCTACAAGGGACACAGAAAACAAACAGCAAAATGACAGAAATTAGTCTCTCCTTAACAGTAATTACTTTAAATGTAAATGGATTAAATCCAGATTCACAAAGATATGATGTAATGAAAAAGGAAGTAGCAGATGGTACCTGGAAGTGGGGTGCTGCTATCGGAAGTGGCTTTGGAATCGGCAATTGGCAGAGGCTGCAAAAATTTTGAGAAGCTTAGAAAAAACCTAGATTACCTTGAACTAACATTAGCAGAAATATGGATGTTAAATAATTTCACTGGTGATGGTTCAGAAAGAGTGAAAAATATGGTAGAGAAAACACAAATTGCCTTAGAGAATACCCAAATCATTGTAAACAGACTATTGGTAGAAATATGGATGTTAAAGGCATTGCTAGTGAAGGCTCAGAAGGAACTGACAAACTTGTTATTCGAAAACTTGAGAGAAGTTGATCCTTGTTATACAGTGGCAGAAAGCTTAGCAAAACTGTCCTACAGTTATGTGGAAAACAGAACTTGTTAATGATGAAATTGGAAATTTAGCTGAGAAGATCTTCAAGAAAAGTGTTAAGGATGTGGCCTGGTGTCTTCTTGCTGCTTAAGAAAAATGCAAGAGGAAAGGGACAAACTGAAGAATAAACTGTTAAACAAAAAGAAACCAGAACTCAATGATTTCGGAAATTCTCAGTCCATCCAGATTGCAAAAGACGCTAAAATTTAGAGATTCACTGTCAGGAAAATATGCTCTAGAGAAATACTGAGGCTGGGGCTGGACAATCTTTTGTTAATATCTCAGAAATATTGAAAGATCAGAGCATTCAGTCACACAAAATACTCTTTGAAAAGATAAAGCATGTGGCTCACAGATCTCCATAGCCATCTCAGCTGAAGCCAAGTATAGATACAGGATTCCCTAGGAAAGACCTGCCAAGAGCCTCTTCTTGGATGACATGAATATCCATGAGACCCATAATCTTAAGAATGGCACACTAGCATTAAAACTAGCTTGAATTTCTTTTAAAGAAATGGAGAAAAGCCTATTGGACCCTTAAAATTCTACAGTCAGGAAACAGACTGATGTAGAAAACAAAATGTGAAGTTACAAAACAAAGTTACAATAATATTAGCTTTCAGAATCATAATTTTTTTCTTTTTTTTCTTTCTTTTCTTTTCTTTTCTTTTCTTTCTTTCTTTCTTTTTTTTTTTTTTTTTGAGACAGACTTTTGCTCTTGTTGCTCAGGCTAGAGTGCAATGGCTCCATCTTGGCTCACTACAACTTCCCCTTCCTGGTTCAAGCAAGATTTTCCTGCCTCAGCCTCCCATGTAGCTGGCATTACAGGCATGTGCCACCATGCCCAGCTAATTTTGCATTTTTAGTAGAGACAGTGTTTTACCATGTTGATCAGGCTAGTCTCGAACTCCTGACCTCAGATGTTCCACCTGCCTCGGCCTCCCAAAGTGGTGGCTCATGCTTGGTCAATTTTTTTTCTTGTAAATGTATTCTCTTAGGTTATGTAGAAAACAAAAAATGGAATTTACAAACTGCAAGGATTCCTTGAATGTAATAATACTGTTTCTCTCTTGCTGCTTTTAAGATTCTCTCTTTGTCTTTGGCTTTCACAGTTTGATTATAATGGGTCTGGGTCTGGGTCTCTCTGAGTTCATCCTACTTGGAATTCAGCTTGGATGCTTATATTTGTGTCTTTTAGCAAATTTGGGAAGTTTCTGGCAATTATTTATTCAAATATTCTTTCTGTTCCTTTCTCTTTTCTCTTTTTCAGACTCTGTTAATACATATATGTTGGACCACTAATGGTGTCCTTTGGGTCCCTTAGTTTTTGTTTACTTTTCTTCAATCTATTCTTTCTGCTCTTTATACTTGATAATTTTCATTTTTTGTCTTCAAGTTCACGGCTTCTTTTTTCTGTCTGATCAAATCTGACTTTGAATTCCTACAGTGGATTTTTCATTTCAGCTTTTAGACTTTTCAGCACCAGACTTTCTTTTGGATTTTTATGTTTAATCTCTTTATTGATTTTCTATTTTGCTTATGCATTGTTTTCTTGACTTTCTGCTCATCTTCCTATAGATTTTTTAGTATCTTTATGACCGTTCTAAAATCTTTGTAAAGTTGATCTATCGTCAGTTCTTTTTCAGGGGTGGTTTCTATTTTTTTTCCTTTGAATGAAATGGGCCACCCTGTCTTGTTTCTTTGTATGCCTTGTGACTTTTTGTTGCAAACTGGATATTTGAATCTAATAATGTGATAACTGTGGAAATAAAACTCTCCTTTCCTTTGTTGTTGGTGGTGGTGGTGGTTGTTTTTGTAGGCTTTCTCTGTGCCAAAGATTAACCTGAGAGGTAAATTTAAGGTCTTTTCATTTCTTTTCTCAGCTTGTGTTTTTTTCTGGGCATTCACGGTGGCTTTCTAATTTTCCCCATAGGTGCAAATGCTTTTGAATGTCATTGTCTTTATGTCTGGCTCACTAAAGGGGGAAAAGAGAAATAGAGAAGGAAGAGAAGATGCCAGGACTTTGAATCCTGTGGATGTCACTTCAACCGGAGAAGAGGGTTGAAACAGTGGGGGAGGTTCAACAACAATGGCCTCTTGCCTTTTTGTTTTCACTTCTGTGATCAGAAGCAGCAGGCAGTGATAAGAGGATAGATTTGCAATATTTAGAGGAAAGTGTCCTTTTTGCCCACACTGGCTCCTACAAGTTGCTCTTGGAACACATGCAGGGTTGTTTGCCATAGGGCTAGGAGTGGGGGATGGGTAGCTATTACTGAGGTAAGAACTGAAATTGACCAAAATTAACCAGAGTTTACCATCCAAACCTTCCCCTGGAAGTTGCAACCCTTCCGTAGACTCCAGAGTTTCAAAATCGTTAAATCAGGCAGCTTCTGCTACTGTAGTTGTTGTATATGTAAGGAGACAGCTTCCACGTGCTTCTTATTCTGCCGTCTTCCCATAAGCCCATCTAATTTACTTCTCCTTAAAGTAGATTTTAAGTAGAATTTTAAGAGGAAATGAGCAATAGTTCTTCAACTGTGACTTGAGGGAAGGATATAAACATAGAGTAGGTTGAAGGGGAATAAGAATTTGTAGGGGAGCTCATATATGATTGCTTTAATCTTTTCTGTGTAGTGAGAATGTAATTTAATATGAATAAGATGGAGATAAGGAAGAGTTTCTCTTAAGAAGAGAAGAGCTCTGCAAAATCCTTGGGGAATGATCCAGGGGGTAAAGATATTTTAAAAATTCTGAATTCTAATTGTGCAGTTTTCCAGTTGTGTATAGCTCTACATTAAGTTGGAATCTTGGGTTGCGGAATTAAATAGGAATTAGTAATTCAAAAGTTGGACGTTTTTAAAAGTAAAATTTAGGATTTGATTTTTACAAATTACATTTTTTTCTGACCCTGAGTCTACTGTTGTTCATTGGGAAAAAAAATAAAGAGCAAGCACTGGAACTCAGATACAGCCTCCAGTAATGGCTGTGTAGTAGAATGTTGAAGAGTGCTTGTTCATGGGCGCCATAATGCTATGATCAGCATTTGGATGAAGAGGAACTATACAGACATACTAGAGTTAATGTTTGATTGATTTATAATAGATAGGGCACAGTATTTGATCCTTTGACTTTTACCTTGTTCTAAATTATCTACCTGTGGTCATACGACAATCAAATAACTCCCCATCAACTTATCGATATTTGGCTCTGCCCTATGTCTGCAGTTTGGTTCTCTGTCTCTAATGTCAAGTTACCCACCCACTCCCTGATTCAGCAAGCCCTGAAAATTTGTAGAGCTCTGCTTTTTAGCACTTGTGACCATTTCACCTTTACAACTAAAGTGACTGTTCAGCATTACGACTTTTGTTATTTTGACACGTAGCTTGCAAAGGCAATGGATTCCCATCTTGGTTTCTTAAAGTGTAGATGTTCAAAAGTATGTCAAATGCTCTAAATTATTGGCGTCTGTTAAATGGGAACTTTTCAAAGATCAAAGAATTGTTCAGCAAGTGCTGAACTTTGACATACTTCTTTCATTTTCTTTCAGGTTAACAATAAATGCCCTTGCCCAGAAGCTCAATGCTTACTGGAAGGAGAAAACATCTCAAGATAATTTTGAGACCTCACCTGTAGCCAGGCCAATACCGTAAGTAATAGATATAGAATATGAATGTATTAGGGGTAATATCCATAGATCAAATTGAAGTAACAAGGGTAAGATGGTGTTTTTCACATCTGGAAGTTTAATTGACTAAAAATAGGAACTCACAGGTACTAATTGCTTCATTCTCTAAACCTCTTCATTCTGGTTGAACACGTTTACACTCTGGGTCATAAACGTGAAGAGTTTAGTACTATCAATTTGAAACAGGTAGTGTGATATAGTAGAAGAGGATGGCAATTTAAATCAAACATTCCTGGGTTGAAAATCCAGATGTGCTTTTTAATAGTTGGGTGAGCTTGGGTAAGTAAGTTACTTCACCTCTCTGAATATATTAAATTAGATGACATAACATTTTTAGCACAGTGACTGGCATATAGTAGGTGTTCAGACATGTTAGCAAACTTACCTTTTCTTTACTGGTAGTGAATATTGCTGGGACTGTACCAGTACTTCAGAGTAGAAATAGAGAACCCCATAGGTTAAAGAAAAAGTAGAATTTATTGACTCTAAGACAGACAAGTCAGATAAGGAGTGTAATACAGAGGATCGAATGTGTAGCAACACATACACCATCAGTTACACCACCAACAAGACAAACATTAGAGTGGTAGAATGTTTTGGAGTAGGCACCTGTTTTTTTAATGGAAATTATTAGGCAAATGTATGATATAAAATTTTATTTCAAATGCAACCTAATGGCTCTATGTATATCACCCTCTTCTTATTCTGAAGATCTTAGCTCATGGCCATCCTCCATAGTTTTCAACGTACAAACTAAGATGAGATGCCATTTTTTGCCTTTCAAATTAGCAGAGATTAATGCAGTGAAACAGACATTTACATACTGCTAGAGAGTGTATGCGCTGGAAGCAGAATTGTAATAATGGCAATTATTTATTGAATGCTTATATGTCGGGCACTGTTCTAGGTTCTTTCCATCCAGTGATATACTTAATCATCACAACAACCCTATCTGTTAGATATTATTATTATTTCTTTACAGATGTAGAGACTGATACACCAAGAACTTAAGTCCCTTGCCTAAGGTTAGACAAGCAGCAAGTAATAGAGCTTAGGATTGAATATAGGTAATCAGGTTTCCCAAACCTAAGTTATTAACTGCTACTCTCGGAGGGACGCGATGAGGGGAATGTAGTACAGCCTCCTCAACTACCTGTTTACTGAAAGGATGAGCTAAAAGCCTCTTCTATCTGCCTGGATTGAAGGATCTACCATGATCTGCATGGAGCCCAAAACAGAGGGTTGCTTCCTCTAAGCATGCCTATCCCCGAGAGAGTAATACTGGCGTTCTGCCAGAGACTCTCCTGTGCATATGCATGTAGACCCAAAGCTAATATGACCTTTCTTCTCTCCTCCCACTACTGCTGAAGCTGCTTTTTGCTGGCTCTGGCTCTAAAACAGTGGCTGTCTTGAAATATATAGACACCAGAGGTCAGGCCTGAGCTTAGAGCTTAGAGGTTGCAAGGCTAGAACAGCCTGGAGCTAGGAGGTAGGAAGCTGTAGGTCCAAAAATGTGTACAAACTTTCTTTGTTCAAACAGGGTTTTAAAAAAGAAGAGGGCAGGCCATGCACGATGGATTATGCCTGTAATCCCAGCAGTTTGGGAGGCTGAGGCGGGCAAATCACGAGGTCAGGAGATCATGAGCATTCTGGCTAACATGGTGAAACCCGGTCTCTACTAAAGTACAAAAAATTAGCTGGGTGTGGTGGTGTGTGCCTGTAGTCCCAGCTACTCAGGAGGCTGAGGCAGGGGAATTGCTTGAATCCAGGAGGCAGAGGTTGCAACGAGCAGAAATTGGACCACTGCACTCCAGCCTGGCGGCAGAGCAAGACTTTGTCTCAAAAAAATAAAAAATAAAAGAAGAGGGCATTGTATTTCAGTGGTAGACTTATGAGTGCCTTTTATTTTCTTCTGTATATCTTTCTGTATTTTCTAGTTTTTTAGTAATGAGCTTATATTACTTTTATATTTAGAAAAAAGCACAATTGAAAGCCAGGTGCAGTGGCTCACACCTGTAATCCCAGCACTTTGGGAGGCTGAGGCAGGCAGATTGCTTGATCTCAGGAGTTCGAGACCAGCCTGGGCAACATGGTGAAACCCTGTCTCTAAAACCCTATCTCTACCAAAAGTACAAGACTTAGCCAAGTGTGGTGGCTCGTGCCTGTAGTCCCAGCTACCTGGGAGGCTGAGGTGGGAGGATTGCTTGAGCCTAGAAGGAGGAGGTTGCAATGAACCAAAATTGCAACACTGTACTCCAGCCTTGGCAGCAGAGAGAGACCCTGTCTTAAAAAAAAGAAAGAAAGAAAAAAAGAAAAAAGCACAATTTAAGATGATAAGGAAATTATTGAACGAAGACATAAAAGGACCACACCAGTCTATTGAACTATCTAGTATAAGAGCAGTATAAATATAACATACATAAAACTCAGGCTAAATTACATGTTAGTGAAATTGGCTGAGGTGCCCCTCTTCTTGCTTTGTGTGTCTTTTCTCTTGCCTTCTCCATTCTCACTCCAGCCTATCTTTTACATCTTACGTACTGAGTACTTCTGTCATATAAGGGCCACCTTCTTTCTCAGAGAAACACATTCTCTCTAAAGTGTAGGTAACTGAGGGGAATGGGAGTGGATATACATTTTAAGAGTTGATCTCTGGAAGAGTTTTATCTTAATAATTTAATCCCATTGTTGTCTGGAGCCACCATTTCTAGATATGAAGTTTAATCACATTTATATTACTTTTTAAGATTTACTTTAGGAATATTAACCTAGTAAAATTTTGATTGAAGTATTATAAGCAAAGGTTTTTTGAGGGAAATAAAAAGGAATAGGGAGTCTCTGCAGGGAAATTGGGGAGATGTGTTAATGGCAATGCTTCCATGACTCTCATAAATGCATTTTAAGTCTGTTACATGATCGGACAGAGGCAGACAAAATGTTTCTGTGGGTTTTATTTCTTGGTAATATAGTAATAAACAAATTTTCAAGTTAATACATTTTAGAGTTAAAATTACCCTGTTTTTTTGCTTAGAACAAAGATACCAGGATAAATATTATTAATTTTTTTTCCGTAGCTTTTGGGGTACAAGTGGTTTTTGGTTATAGGGTATTATTGACCTCCATAAATAATAATAGTTCACCATGTTAATACTTGTAACTTGCTATAGTTCTATCATTTTATCTGTGAAGTTAAAAATAGATACATTTTGGGCACCGAGATGATAACATTCCTAACACATTTCATATATAATATTAGATTATTTCTGTTTTAGGCTGCACCTTTCTAATGTAAGAGAAAGCACGGAGCTAAGATATACATAGTCACACTTCCATTTTTGTTCATTCAGGAAGGTCCCTGACCAGACATGGGTTCAGTGTGATGAGTGTCTTAAATGGAGGAAGCTTCCTGGCAAGATTGATCCATCCATGTTACCTGCAAGATGGTTTTGTTATTATAATTCTCATCCAAAGTACAGGTAAGGTTCCAGGACTCAATCTTATGCTCAAAATAACTCCTGATCTATCTCTATAGTCTAAACATTTTTCATGTCAGGTTCACACCCTTCAGCCTGGGACTCAAGGCCCTGTGCTACCTGACCCTACCTTACCTATCTAGTCTTACATTTCATTGTATTTTAACACAGACTCTATACTTGAGCCAGGCTTGTGGCTTCACTATTCCTTACACATGAAATGCTTACTCTCACTTCCATGACTTTGATAGTGTCATTCTTCTTGCTTGCAGTGACTGTCTGCATTCCATCTTTCTATCTTAATCACATCCATCTGGAGAGCAAGTCTTTTGTGTGATGCTTTTCCTGTTGACCATAGTTTACAGTGATTTTACTCTGACTTCCTCTGGTATTTGATTGTTGACATTTGTTCACATATGGTTTTGTACTTTTTGGATGTTTTTAATGTATGTATGTTTTGGCTCTTCAAGAGATTGTACACTCCTCGAGAACAAGGGCTTACATTTCAGGTCAAGTCGATGATTTTCTTTATATGCTTCATATTCAGAATCAATGTTATGCAGTAGTACCTGTACCTATTGTATATTCAGCGCTGTTTGTGTGTTTGTCTTCCTAATATACCATATGTTCCTTGCAGCATCCAACATCTAAGTAGTGTCTGGCATATCTGTGAGCATTAACTTTAATTTAAAAGTTTTTAAAAATTTGACTCAGTAGTTACATAGATTCATAATAATAAGTCAGTGTGCTTCAATTCAGCTATGACTTTCTGAAAGTTCATTTTGCAGGATAAATACTGATTACTGATAGAAAGAAAGGTGCTAAAATGGGTAAAAATATCTGAAATTGAAGAAGTGAAATGAACAAAGATTAGGTCTATAAATATAAGCATTTCCTCAGTCTCTAGATATGCCTAAATATCTTTCCATGGAGAGTAAATGAGATTGTGTAATTAGAATATGGAACTGAGTACTTAGAAGTCTCGTATTTGAATACTTTATCTTTTAGTACTGGATACATAATCGTCCAGGCCACTTTACCCCTTTATAAACTGGGTATAATATAGTTGCCAATTACTGTTAAGTTTTGTTTGTTTGTTTCTAGGATTACTTTTGACAACTGAATGCATTTTCTAGTACTTCCTTTCAGTTTTTACTCTTAAAGTTCTCTTTCTCATGCCTTAAGTATAACAAGGTTTTATAATTTGAATGAGGTCTGAACTTTATAATGTTACAGGGTTGTTAACCTGCATAGTTGTAAGGAAAGTAAAAGGTAAAAGTGAAGGGCACATTTTGCTTCCAAAGGATGATTTCTTCTCTATACTGCAGGAGGTGCTCTGTTCCAGAGGAACAAGAACTCAATGATGAAGACCTGTATTTGAGCAAAGCTAAGAAACAGTTGAGTATACATGAGATGGTGTTCTCTGTCATTCTGTCATAGGGTAGAGGAGCCTGACACTTCCTAATAGGACAGGGGAGTTTTGAGAAGAGAGGAATATTTTTGGTTCTTAAAAAATAGTTTCCCCCCTCACCTCACTGCTCTCCCAGTTCTTTATTCCTCCTAACCATCTCTTGAATGTCTCAACTAGTGATTGTCTTTAATCTCTCTCTCTCTCCTCTCTCTCTCTCTCTCTCTCTCTCTCTCTGTCTCTCTGTCTCTCTCTCTTTTTCATGGGGCACTTGAAATCTCACTTCAGTAGTCTAGTTCAGAAAGGCACCCTCAGTTACTCAGTGAGACTCACACTGTTTGTAATTTGGAAGGAACGTTATAACCTAAATCTACAATTAACAGTCCATTTCAAACTGAGAAGTTTCATGAGTGAACTAAATAGCACTTTTGTCTTCTCCTAGAGAGCAAACTGTTGAGGAGAAGAAGAAGATGCCTATGGAAAATGAGAACCACCAGGTGAGAGGCAGTGCACATCCTTATCTTTCTCACATGACATTTTCCCCAGCAGAGGCTATAAGTTAAAGGAAGCAGCAATCTTGAAAGCTGCATAGAAATAAACCATTTCTTCTGGTGGTCTTCTTTTCATTGGATCTTTTGGTTTTGCTTTGCTCTGCTGTCACTGATGTTTAGATCACCAAAAATAGAAGACTCAAATCATTTATTTGCCAAATTTGGATTCAGTACTGACTCTGGACAGTGTGAATGTCACATTCAGTGTCACAGAATATTCAGCGTTGTGTTCCATCCTCATATAGGCTTCTCCTGTTAAATGTCTGGTTTTCCTGTCTCTTTTCTTCCAGGATTCAGGGGTGATTGCTTCCTCCTTCCTCTTGGGAAGAAAGGGTGGTTCTTTGTACTCCTTCCTGATCCCTGCTTTCAGGCTGGCTGGCTTTATAAAGACTCTGCTGTTTTGAATTTTCAGGAGCACTGTCTCTCGGACATGGTTGCCCAGCTCCGGACGCTGAAGGGTGCAATAAGGTTGGCCGTCCTTTCAGGGACACTCCTTTCCTGACAGCCACCATAGCACCCATATATCTTCCCCTCCCAACCTTGCCTTTCTGCATGATTTCCCTCTTGACCCTCTTTCCCAGAGAGATCTGCTAGTCGCATGTTAGATTCACCTTCCAACCACTCAATCAGGGTAGGTCAGACTGGTGAGGATAGAGGCAATTTAATACTAATTCTTCTTCTGATATCCTGCCAAGACCCAGGCATATGAATAATCAGGTTTCATACCCTAATGTCTTGGTTTAATAGTCTGTTGTAGAGATTGGGAGATTTCCTAGGACTGCCCTGTTCTCATTCAGTTTACCTCCCCTATATATTCCCTCACCGTAATCATTCATACTATTTTCATGAGCTGGCTCTCCCACAAGATCCAGATGCATGTCCGTGTGTATGTACTGTGAATATATGTTAGTCTGTCGCATGCATTTCTCCCAAACTGGCATAGACACTTGCCGCAGTGCATTTTCCCACCGTCCCTACCCTCATCACACATCTCAGAGGAGTGAAAACTCAGCCTTAAACTGAGTCACAAAAGAGAATTAGACAATGATTAGGGGGTCTGGGTTTATGTTGGGGGTGGGATAATTCTAGGAGCCAATAAGTAAGTTGGGGGAGGTCTGTTTGGTGTCCAGCTGATAAGGTTGATAACTGAATATGCCTAGTGTACATTATGGCGCACTGTTTGTTTTGTGTAGAAGATGGTTTCTTTTTATTTGGCCAAGCATTCTTTCCTAGCATCAAAAGGATTGACTCATCCTTTGGCATTTGGTTTGAATTTGGGATTTTTACAAATCGTTTCTTTCTTTTCTAGGTATTCAGTAATCCACCAAAGAACCTTACTGTTCAAGAAATGGCTGGATTGAATAACAAGAGCACTGGATATGAGGGAATTCGTAGCCCTAGTGTGCTTCCATCTGGTGGAGAAGAAAGCAGATCACCTTCTCTTCAACTTAAGCCTCTGGATACCAGTGTTTTTCAGTATTCCAGGTAACTAAAAAGCCTGATTTCTTATCAATAATAAACCTTAGGGTCTGTTTTCCTCTAGAGTAAGTTGATATGTGTTACCCTGTTTCTGTTTTTTTCTAAGCCGTAGCATGGAATTCAGAAGTAGAAACACAATTTTAAGTTGATATTATAGTATGTTACATGTATCTTCAGTTTTTCAGTGTTATAACTGCTGTGTCAAGGATATAATTTTGAGGTGATCATTTGCTGATACTCATTTTATGTACCATGTATTCACGTTATATTGGGAATTCTGCAAGTGTAATAATAGACAATATTTAAAAAGTATAAAATACTATACAAATAAGGTAATGTTATATCAATAAGCATTGCTCCTTTTCTTCAGTGTGTGGATATTGAAGTTTTCTGGGGCCTCATAGGCCTAGCATATGTTGGCCACATATAAAAATAACTATTAGGTATTTGTGCCATTAGGTAAGCCTTATCATTTGTTGTTTCCTAGAATAAATTAGTATAAGTTTAGTCTTGGACTTTTCCTTGTTCATCTTCTAGCACCTCATCAGTGTTATTTTGTGTCTTCATAACAAGGAGTATAACTTCTTTTTCTTACATATCAGGAGTATCTGAAACACTGAAGGAATAAGACTGCCCCTATACTGCCATGGGACTGAACTCAGTACTCCTAATTATGAATCCTTGCTTTCTCCTCTTTATTCTGCTTCTCACTTTTGCAGGGCCAAGCCATATAGGGCAGCCACAGAGTTGCTCTCTAATAATAGAAATGTCTGTGTTCATCAGTCATGTGACTATTATATGGTGGGATGTGAACATTTTAGTGACTTTTCAGTTTGGTTATCTTCTTAACATATTGTAGAATAGTCAGTGGAATACATAATAAGATAAAGTGACTTCTGGTTGGTTGGTTTTTCTCAGTGTTTCTGAGTTCGAAACCAGCCTGAACAACATAGCGAAATCTTGTCTCTCAAAACAACAACAACAACAACAACAAAAACAAAAACATAGCAATGCCTTGGAATATAGTAGGTACTCAATAAGTAATGGTTGAATCTGAGTCATACTTAAGAAGCAATTTCTAAGATTGAATTTTGTAGTAGTGGGATAAGAAATAGATTCCAGCCTTAGTCTCAGGAGCTTGAACCTAATTATACTGTTTCCATGTATACTTTTCCTACGCCCATTTTAGGTTGGGAGGAGTGCACTGTAAATGTTAAGTGTTTTTGAAGCACATTATTACCTTTCTACCCTGGTCTTCTGGAGATGATCATATATCACCATTGCTGCTGGAGTGTCAGGTGTCTTTGCTTTTGAAGACTATCCTTTCCCTACGATGACCACTTTTCCTTTTTTTTGACTGTTTCTTTTGTAACTCTGTAGTGTTTTTGGTAACCTCAAGGGGATTACAAACGCTGATTTATATAGTTATTTTATGAATGCAGTACAATAGAACTTCCATTGGGTGGCATACTTCATCAATCTTTATTGGAATTTTTTTATGAGTCTTTATGGATTGCTATATCGAGAGTGAGGTTTTGGTTGTAGAGGACAGATAAAGTGCTTTGACCATTTATGTGTAATTTTAACTTAATGAGAATGAAATTATTTCAAGAGAAAGAGATACATAAGAGGTATGCGATAGTTGCTCTTGCTAATGTCATATGTGTTACATAAGTTCAGGAAATGATGATTGTGCCATTTCAAGCTACACTTTTAGGGAGAATCACATTGATTGATTGGGCTGAGACTACCTTTTTATGGGGGAAAATAGAGGTACTCAAGAGTCTATAAAATATACAGGATTTCTGATAAAACATTAAAGTTTAATCAAGAGTTCCAAAGGTCTTCTGCTATTATCAACATAGGAAGCTGATAAGGGTCCTTGGTTCATGTAGTTCAGCTTACTAACTCTAGATAGACTAAAGCATATGCTATCCAAGAAAACTTTTAAGTTCTAGTGGGGTAGTTTAGCAGGGGCTCCACAAGTGTCTCTGGAAACTGCTTTGTAAGTCCCACAAATCTAGCAAGGGAAGGAGAGGACCTGCAACAAAGGGTAGGTTTCACCAGTATGTAAGCAGGTATACTCTTTTAGGGGAAGACAGCATATTTCTGTTAAAGGGAATAATCCCTTCCTACTTGTTTATTCTACATGTATAGTCGTGTGCCACATAATACCTTGGTCAATAACAGACCACATATACAACAATGGTCCCATTAACTTATAATGCTACATTTTTACTGTCCCTTTTGTATATTTAGATATATTTGATATGCAGATACTTACAAGTTTGTAACCTAGGAGCAATAGGCTATATGCCACATAGCCTAGGTGTATAGTAGGCTATATACCATCTGGGTTTGTTCAAGGACACTCAATGATGTTTGTACAACGAGGAAATCACCTAACAAAGCATTTCTCAGAATGTATGCCCATCATTTAGTAATGCATGATTGTATCTGAGTGTCTACTGTATGACAGGCTCTGTTCTAGGGTACTGATAAGATCAAAGATGGAGGTTTGAGTAGTCAAAGTTTGTTATGTAAGTATCTCCAGTACTTACATATAAAATACATATAAGTTTTCTTATGAGCGATACAAAATAAGATTTAAAGTGGCTGGGCGCGGTGGCTCACACCTCTTATCCCAGCACTTTGGCAGGCCGAGGAGGAGGATTGCTTGAGCCCAGGAGTTCGAGACCAGCCTGGGCAACGTAGTGAGACCTCATCTATACAAATAATAATAATAAAAAAATACCTGGGTGTGATGACATATGCCTGTGGTCCCAGGTACCCAAGAGACTGAGGTGGGGAGGATCACTTGAACCTAGGCTGCAGTGAGCCAGCTGTGATCATGCCACTGTACTCCAGTCTGGGTAACAGAGCAAGACCTTGTCTCAAAGAAAAAGAAAGATCTAAAGTAACCATAAGCATCTGATTGAAGGCAATAATTAGTGGCTGTAATTTATTTAGGTCAGGCATCCCCAAACTTTTTACACAGGGGGCCAGTTCACTGTCCCTCAGACCGTTGGAGGGCCGCCACATACTGTGCTCCTCTCACTGACCACCAATGAAAGAGGTGCCCCTTCCTGAAGTGCGGCGGGGGACCGGATAAATGGCCTCAGGGGGCCGCAGTTTGGGGACGCCTGATTTAGATATTTAGATTTGAGTAAGCTATATGTCAGATGCTAATCAGTTCATATTTTAAAAGGATAACAAATTCTGGATTGCACTGTAATGGTGGAAGGAGAGGAGTAGACAAATTCTAATGTGTCTAAAGGAATACTTGAAATAACAAGCAAGGGGTAGAAATAGAACAATTTTGCAAATGAATGAGATTGATTCAGGGGCTAGTATTAACCTTTAAAAATATTATCTGGGGAAGCAACTTCCAGAATGGAGAAATGAGGAGCACAGTGGACTCTCACCAAGAAATAACTGTTTAACTTGAAAAATGTATTTTAAAAAATCAAAGTTTCTGGATATTTTCCTAGGGGAACACAGCAAAGGGAGAAATATTCAAGAAATCTACTAAATCTTAGGAAGAACAGCAAGAGTCAGTGGCATTTGAACCACAATCTGTCCCACTTCAAGCTCTGTTTTATGAAAACTCAAGGGAATTCTAATCCAGGTGGCTGTGGTCTAGAAGATGGGGGCTCCCTCTTCCCCTGGCTCCTTGTCTAGAGCTATGGTTTTACCTGGGAGGGTTAGGCCTTTGGCTTTTCTCATTTCCTCTCCAGTTCTGTTTTGTAGAAGCTCTGTTCCAGGCAGACCCACGAAGACTGGGTTTCTCTTCTCCCAGCCTTCTCTTATCCCACAACGCTCTCACTTATAGGGTGGAAGCACTCACCAAGGAACAGTAAGTTAATAATACTATGCCCCTGTTGTTCCTACCCGAGCTTGCTCATAGGTCAGAAGTCTATACTGGAAGAAGTAAGCCAAAAATTACCCCAGCACCCATTCATAAAGAAGGGATTTTACTCTGGCAGAAGTTATGTTACTGTCTTTGTCTCTAGTTCTTGCACACTGTTCCAGAGATTCTGTTTAAAGAGAAAGGCAGGCCTTAAGGATGAAGAACTCCACAGCTATACCTAAAGGAACTGACTTTATGTGGAACAAAACACGAAGAATTCTGTGACTAAGGGGCATTGTCAAAAATAATGGAGATCTTGGTGGAGACCAATTATGAGGGCAATTATAACTCCATGACAAGTTTCAGTAGGCAAAATATGCAAGCAGTCATAAGTTTGGTAACAGAGAGAATCAGGAAAATACAGTCAAGAGCTCTCTTGGGATCATAGTCAGTCCTGGGTGTCAGAAAGGCTGTGTATGAGTACTGGGCTACACCCACTCAGAAGCAATCAGAGCAGGACCTAAGGTGAACCTGAAAGCAGTCCTCAAGCCAAACACAGATGAAACAGCAAAGAAGAGGAGCCTTACTTGCACTAGAGGTTTAAACACAACCTCTAACTAACTACTGGCTGAAAAATATTACTCTGACCCAGGGGCATCACTTGGGAACCAGGCCTAAAAATGAAATCACATACATCCCTAGCAATTTGGGAGACTAGGTACATGCTCAAGTCTATGGTGCCTCTGGGATGATTGAAGAGGGAAAATCTAAGCTATTAGTACTTGGCTGAATGTGGGGCAGAAGCATATACTTCTTGAACTTTGGTAGTAACCTCTAAGTCTCACACAGGTCCAGTGGAAGAGAGTAAAAGTCTAACTGGCTGAAGGGACATAAGCATAACCTTTATCTAATAAGTGACCTGTGCCAAACCAGGTATGAACCCTAGGTTGCAGGTAAAAGATTAAAATCAAGAAAAAAAATCTGAACAACTACATCAGAGGCTGCATGCTACAGGGGAAATGGACTGCATGGAGTCGGTTCAGCCAAGTCATTAAATAAATAACCAAGCAAACAGCAATACCAGTGTCACAGGGAAGGGGAGCTCAGTGTCCAGAATTGCTATACTATATTATTTAAAATGTCCGGTTGTCAACAA